AACTGATTTTTGACCAAAAAGCCAAAGTAATTCACAAAGGAAAGAAAAGCATTTTCAATAAATAATGCTGACATACATGGGATCTGTGTTGGGGGTGGGGGAGGAAAAAAAGAAGGGGAGAGAGCTCAGCTCCTGTATCACATCATATACCAAACTAACTGGAGATGGATCATAAGCCGAAATACAAAGCTAAAGAAAACTGTACAAACTTCAGAAAGAAACACATCTTTATGACCTGAACAGATGAAGATTTCTTAGGCACAGAAAGCAATGACCATAAAAGAAATAATTGATAAATTAGATTTCATCTAAATAAGAAACTTTTGCTCATCAAAACACACCATTTAAAAAATGAATAAATGACAGATTGGGAGAGAATAGTCACAGAAAACCCGTGATAAAGAACGTGTATCCTGAATGTATGAAGTACTCTTACAATTCAGTGAGGAAAAAGCAAGCCAGTTTAAAAGATGGTCAGAAAACCTCAAACAGACACATCACCATAAAAGACACACAAGTGGACAATAAGCACACAGCAAAGCTTCAACATCATTAGTCATTAGGAAAATGCAAATAACAAAAACCATGAGATATCACTGTAGACCCGTTAGAATGAATAAAATTAAAAAGATACAAAATGTTGGCTATGATGTGCAGCAATAAGAACTCCCACACTGCTAGTGAATACAAAAGAGTCAACTGCTCTGGGAAGATGTCTGGCAATTTTTAGAATCTAAGTACATTTACTGTATGACCTTGCAATCCCAGTCCCAGGTATCCACCCAGGAGATATGAAAACGTATGTCCACGAGATGTATACATGGAAATTCATAGCAGCTTTTTCCCAATAGCCAAAACCTGGAAAAAAATCCAAATGCCCATCAATAAGAGAATGGATAAACAAATTGTGCTACGGTCATACAATGGAATCCTACCCAGCTATCAAAAGTAACAGAATCTGACACATTTAACATGGATGAACCCACAGATGCTATTCTGAGTGAAAGAAGCTAGAAACAGAAGAGTACACCCATTCTGTAGGAATTCACTTCATTGAATTTCTAGAATAGGCAAAACCACAAATGGTGCCTGACTTATGATGGTTCAACTTAAAAATTTTTGACTTTACAATGGTGTGAAAGCAACGTGCATTCAGTAGAAAACATACTTCGAGTACCCATGATACCATTCTGTTTTTCACTTTCAGTACAGTACTCAATAAATTACATAAGATATTCAACACTTTATTATGAAGTAGGCTTTGTGTTAATTAATTTTGCCCGACTATAGGCTAGTCTGTGTTCTCAGCATGTTTAAGGTGGGCTAGGCTAAGCCGTAACATTTGGTAGGTTAGGTGTATGAAATGCATTTTCAACTTAAAATATTTTCAACCTATGATGGGTATTGGAACATAACCCCATTGTAAGTTGAGGGGCATTCGGAATGTAATTATTAATAAAATAGTAGTCATCTCTGGGAAAGACCATGACGGACTTTTCTGGAAGAGGGAAACATTCTACATCTTAAAAGAGGTGTGGGATACACAGATGTTTCCATTTGTCAAATTGGGTCTGTTCTTTACTTTTCAGTGTCTGTATATTATCCTTCAAAATCTAAACACTGTATAAGAACTAACTGCCTGGGAGGGCGGGGGGTTAAGATGTATAAGAACATCTGAGTGTCAGCTGCTGGAATTGGGTAAGGGTGTCCAGCGCTCATTATTCTGTTCACTTTGTATGTACTTGGAAATTTCCAAGATACAACTTTTTAAAATAAGAATAAATATAGGCATGCCCTCAAAGAATGTCTCTTGGTTAATGCTTTCCTAGTATAATGCCTCCTACTTTTAATATCCAAGTTCATAGGCTATATGTACCTCTCAAAACATTTTCCAGCCTTTCTTTATATAGAAATTTGTGTCCCTAAAACGCAATAAATATCAATTTTAAACTAACAACGTGTGGGGAAAATCTCTTGCTGCATTCCAAATGTAATTGCCAGCACATCTGCATCTCTGTAGACGTAGTGGAAGGGGCGGACACAGGGGGTGCCCAGAGGCTGTGTTGGTGGACACAGGGCAAAGGTTGTTTACAGCCATATTAATTATTTGGTGACCAGGAAGTGATGTTTTAAGCATTTTGCACCTAACATAATAGTATGTTACTTACATGTGGGCATTGCACTGTTCAATTACATTTTATAAAACTGGTTGGGGGCTTGGGTGTGATGTGTAACGCATTATCATAGTTTTCCACTTGAAGTAATAGAAAATAGATCCCCAGCTAGAATTTTAGCATGAAACAGCAGGTTTTCAGAATTAATTACTGACATTAAGTGGGAAGTGTCCTGTAATTAGGAAAAAAAAACAATTTCAGAAAGTGATAAAAAATCGAGTATTTATAAATTAAATATTAAATATTTGTACAGTAACATTCTCCTAGAAAACTTTTGGAATGGAAGGAAAATCACTAATTACATAAGAGCTAATGAAAAGGAAAGGTAACATTGAGAAAGACAAAGGCATAAAAACAGAAAAAAGGAAGGAAAAAAAGAGGGAAGGGAAGGCAAGAGGGAAGGAAAAGAAAAAAAGAAAGAACCAACACAAGCAAGTTATGCACAAGGGGAGGAAATCAGTTTGGTTTTAGATAACGCACAACCTCACGTAACACCAACGCACAGCAATTTCTATCACGTCTTGAGGGAAGAAACTACAGCATAAAAATTCTACACGAGGCATAAAGACACCAGACTTTTACATAGATGCAAATATTTAGGAATTAAACACCCTTGATTCCTTTTTGAAAAAATTACTAGACAATAAAATCCACCCTGCAAATTGAGGAAAAGAAAATCAAGAATTTAGCAGGTGGAAAGGACTGGGGGTGAGCAATGAGTCATTACAGAATTAAAACCGACCAGTTATGTAATTTATAGAACAAAATATACAGGTTACAAATCACAATTCTACAGAAAATTCGGTAAGTGGGGGAAGGAAGAATGTGTGGTAAGTTTATTATCGTTTATAGCAGGGAGCCATTAGATAGGGACTAACTAGGAGAGAGTAGCTAACTTTCAAAAATCAACATTATTCCAATCTCAAATGTTTTAGAAATAATCTGTTTTAATTTCATAAGAATGTCTTATGAATATTTCTTATAATAAAAAATTTATTCAAAATTCAGCATTTTCTTTCGGTTTTAATTTTTCTGTTATATTCAGAAAAATCACATAACTACTTCAGATTCAAAATAGTGACATATGGCACGATCTTCAGGTGTGAGTCCAGCCAAGCACCTGACCCTCTCCCTCCCTCTTCCATCCGGATATTGTGAATTGTATTCACTAAATGTTGCTGTTGCTTCTGGATGGCGAGATTTTAAATGTTTGAGTTCAATTGCCTAATTCCTTCTAGATTACGTTATTTTTCCGAATCCCAAGAGTTTTAAAGGCAAGGCCACGGCGGGTTAACTGCTGGTGCCTGAGAGAGGATCGGGCAGGGCGCTGCGGGCCCTGGTGGTCACCGCCACACACAGTAGAAAGAAAATGCCAGTTTCCCTCAAGGACGGCCTTGCCGAAACAGTGGCAGTGACTTAATTAAATCTTGACCTGTGAATGTGTCTTTTCAACGGCCTGTTTGAAGCGGGAAGTGCGCGTAGAGCAGCACCCAGAACTGCAAGTGTCTCAAGGACGAGCCCCTTGGACACGGAGCACCATTTTTACAGGGAGAATGACAAACTGGTTATTTGGATTTGGGTATCTGGCAGACATTTCCTTGAAGACAAACAGTTCAAGGAAAAAAAAAAACACACTACGTGCTACCAATCACAAAATTTGTGATTTCACACGTAAATTAAAGTTTTGGAAAATATCTGCCAAAGTGAGCGTCTCAATCTTTAAAGACTTTCCTGATGTGATGAGAGTGGGGGTGATATAACAAGGGACTTTGGTATTGAATAACGAATTACGTCAACATTCGGAAATCTATATAACTCAGCGAACTGTTATTTGCAGATGTTACAGAATCACATCTGGGTAAAAGATCCATTCTGAGTGCAACATCAATGAGTTTTAAAGCAACAGGGACAAGAAAGGTCATTAATAAGGTTTTAGATTCCACACTGTAACTTATCTTTTTTAAAATAAATTTTATTTTGAAATAGTTTAAGACTCATAAGAAGTCGCAAAAATAGCACAGAGTTTCATGTACCCTTCCCCCATCTTCCCCCCGTGACAATGTCTTACGCAGCCACACTACATTGTTAAAAGCAGGAAAATGAGATGGGTACAATTCTGTTAGGTCAGTTACAGACCTCAGTAGGATCTCACCAGTTTTTACAGCACTCGTTTCTTTTTCTGTTGTCCAACTAACCTTTAAAAAAAACACCATTTGTCAAATTTTGGTGCTGGTATCAAAAAGGTACATCCACAATGATCAGAATAAGGACATTAAAATACTTCTCCTTTCTGCAACTACTTTTCTGTATGAGGCTGGATTTTCTTCGTATACTTCAACCAAACACGTATCGCAACAGATGGAACAGAGAACCAAGCCAGGCATTACAGAGACTTACAAAAATGTAAAACAATGTCGTTCTTCTCACTAAAGATTCTTGTTTTGGAAAATATGGTTATTTTTCTGTAAAATGTTATATTCATATGCCATAGATTATTTTTTTATCCTAGTTTTCATTTTATACCAGTGCCATAAACACTGATACATGTAACCCACATAATAAAGCAAAGCTCCCTGGGGCCCTCAGGGGTTTTTAGGATTTTGAGAGCTCTGAGCTGTGAGGTAAATCCTGGCAGCAGATGCACCTCTTCTCAGAGCTCCAGGGCTCTCTAAAATTTACACATGCCAACAAAAAGGCTGGAAACCTTTTTATTCTTCAGTTTAAACACATGTATTTGGGTCATATCATAATTTATCCAGAGGAAATTAAAAGTTCAGAAGTTTCTAGAGTGATTGTCAATAACGGAAATACGATACAAACTGTAAGTATTTTAAAGTGGCCTTTTATTAAACTACTTACTATTTAATCTAAATTCAGGCACGGTGGTCAAAGAAATTAAAACTATTCTTCAACTTCATAGAATTCATGTCTACATTTTTAGGACGATCTTGCATTTAAACAGATTTTACAATATTCAGATCCATGAAGTAAACAGCAGACTTTAAAAACCTGTAATTTTCCCAGTGTCCAGCTTAGTCTAAGACTTTGTGAGGCTGGTCTGATCCATGGTGGTGAAGAACGCACAGACAGCAGCTGTGATGAGCAGGTGCACCCCCTCATAGAGAAGCTTCGGAGAAAAGACACTCCATATAAACAAGTGGTAACGCAGGGATGTCACCAAAATGATATATGTGGAAACTGGAATAGAACCAATCAGCGCATAGCAGAAGCAAGCGTGACTCAGTGCTGAACCACTGTTAATAGAAAAGAAAACGTGCATTAGCATGTGTCACGTAAGCCGAGGACACAAGTGTAACCAATGCTTTCACTTGGAGAAGGACTACAGCAATTCCTGCTCCTGGACTAGAAGGTGCCGCGCTCTCTCTTCCGCACACCCACCGGTCACTGTGATACTAGGCTCGGCATTCCTCCAGGTGTCCTGGAGAAGGGAGAGACTAGTCCCTACTCCCAAGAAGCACACATTTTAGCAAAGGAGACAGGAAAAACCAGATAAATACCTAACATGTCAGGAAAAAATAAATGCTCTGAAGAAAAATAAAGCAGAGGCAACAGAAGAGTGAAGGGTGAGAGCCCTGATGTTCCATACGCACCCTGAGCTCTCCAGAAATGCTCTCAGAACCTCATTGCACCTACAAGGATCCAGGGTGTTCGCCAGACACCACGTCTCTCTAGCACGCCTTCCCCACAGAGATCTGGACGTGGTCTGTCTGGGTGCGGGCGGTGGCTTCCCTGCCCTTTGGGGCCACTACAGTCCATAAAATATTGTGGAAAAATGCACCCCTAAATTTTGCATAGTTATTTATCCATGTACTATTATATTACATATATTATAAAATATAACCAATGAATAGAATGTGATACAAATATCAGTTCTGAGCTTTTCTTTCTGCTGTCTAGTGGAATATCTTGTCACTCTGGTCTGGTCTGAGGACACTGGCTCAAAAGTGTCTGCTAAGCAAATTAACAGTGAAGAACAGCATTCTAGAAATAATAACCACCCCTCAAAGCACATTAATGTCCTCCCTTTGTTTTCAAACCATTAAGACAATTGTTACAAACATCTAACCTATTCCTTACAGCAACTCCTGTGAGTCTGCGCTTATTTCAAAATTACAAGTTCCATTATTTGAGCATCTTCACGCCTCACCCACAACCCCTAATGAGTCACAAGTCATGTCTGCAAGGGTCCGTGGGCACCCCGAGAATCCTCGGCGGTGAGGTTTTCCAGTACCCTAATCCAAGTGCCAGCTTTGTCGCCTCACCTGGAACACTGTGACGAGTTTTTAGCTAGTCTGTGGTCTCTCCCCTGTGATCAGCCCACGTCCCGCATCCCTGCCGCCTGGTCTCCCAAAGGCATGGTCTCCGTCACCCACGGGCTGCCTTTGCTGACTACCTGCACTCGCATGGGCACTAGGGGTACGAGAACACGGCTGGGGATGACTGACATAAAGCAGGGTGCCTCTGGTTCAGGCTGGGGAGGGGCGTGAGCACCTCCACCGGAGCAGACAGTTCCTTTGGCTCGGGATTGTTTGTGCTGTGGGCCTGGACACAGGATGTGAGCGGCGAGGTGCTCCTTGCAGGGGTGGCAAATGCTCAAAGGCAGAGCAGCAGCGTGTGCACCTGTACACATGTGTTCTGTAAAGGGGCTCCTTAGTGCTGTCACCCTGGCATCTCCACCAGGTGCCACTTAAAATGTCCCGTAAATGTTTCCTGCTCCTGTTTCAGTGCTCGCCGTCCTGCGAAGGGCACCACAGCCATTCAGGGGCAAAGGACAGGGCTGTCCTGAGTGCCCAGCCCTTCATCTTCCTAGCGGCTGTCTCTGGTGACAGCTGGAGCTGACCCCCTCCAACCCACCTGGGCATGGTGAGAAGACAACCCCGTGCAGGAGACTGTGTAGCAGAAGCCAGAGGGCAGAGCAGAGGCCACAGAAACTACTGGCAGAGGGGAGGACATGGGGAGCGCTCTGTGGTGTCACTGAGCCTTAATCAGGAGAAGCCTGAACATGGCCGGGATTGGCATGTGCGGCCAACAGCCATCACAGCAAGAGGTACACCATTCACGATGGCAGGAAAGGGATCCTCCAACTTCACATCCAAGCCTGGGACTGTGGAGACATGAGAGGCCACAGGAGGCTCCCTGGGCTCCCAGGAGGACTGGGGGCCTCCGGTCACAGCAGGACATGTGTGAGGACATGACTGACCCGGCCACAACCACCCAGAGTGTGCAAGAGGCTGGCCCAGCATCAGACAGACGCCTGCTTTCTGGGGAGGAGGCAGGCCATCGGTACGTGACGTGAGCATATAGGAGAGGCACTGGCGCTGCTGGCGGGGACGGGGGCAGAGCATAAGGGAGACCCCCTCGCACCTCCAGGCAGCTTTGAGCACTTCCAAGGGACCCCTCATTTAACCCCGAAGAATTGCCATTTTACAGAGGGGAAAACCAGGCACAGAGAAGTCACATAACTTCCCGGGCCCAGGGGCACAGGAACACGCCCAGGCCAGCCTGAGAGGCACAGGATTGAGCTTCCTTTTTTTTTTTTCATATTGAATCAATATTTATTTCAGGACATGCCATGTCAAAATAAAACAAAGAGTCAACCCTTGCCTTTAACAATAATATTGTATTATAAAAGCACTTTACAACTCCATCCCATCTTTGAGTGTAAGTTACTGGTATGTGGGCTAATGATTACCTGAAAGCATTTTTCTATTCAGATCCATAATCCAAGTGCTCTCTGAATACTACAAGGTGACAGTAAGTGGGAAGTGGAGGAGGAGGAGGAAAGAGAGGGGACTAACGTTCTCCCAGTTAAGGATTTTGTTGCAATGAGGGGATGAGGAAATCTCTCAGCACCCGCTCAGCACCTGACTCTGCCAGGCCAGGCCCAGGCCCTGAGGTTCCTGTGGCAAACAGAGCTGGCAAAGTCCCCACTTCTTGAAGCCTCCTTTCTAGGGCACATGATATACAAATGATAAGGAAGCTGTGAATGCCAGAGGTGGGTATGCTGTGGAGAAAACAAGCATTTTTCTGCATGGTCTGGGGTGTCCCTGAGGGGCACATTTGCACAAAGCCCTAGAGGAGGCAAGGCCACCAGTGATGTGGGTGTTGGAGGAGACTCCAGGCTGACTGGAGGGAACGAGGACTAAGGCCAAATTGGGCAGGGCAGCCTGGCAGGCGAGGCAGACATGGCCTGAAGGGACCTCTCAGTGACAGGGGACAGCATTCATGTGTCCCCGAACTTCTCCCTGCACCACCCTCGCCTCTCCAACTCAACTCGTCAGCCTCTTGAGTGAACGGGATGTGCCCCCTGCTGCTCGCAGATGACACGGAATGTGTACGGCCCCGACCAGCAGCCCTCTCCAGGGTCCTCCACTGTCCGGCAGGGTTTCTGGAGGCCAAGAACAGTGTCTTTTGCCTTCAGGTCCCCAAAGAGGAAGAACCACCCCCTCCTCTGCAAACCTGGCCACTACCAAGCAGAAAAACTGGGGGGGCTGGGGGAAGAAATTCTTCTTCTGTGCCTCCAGAAACCACGTGCTGGTATGAACTGGGGGAACCAGTAAGGCCCCACATTGCCCCTGAACCTGGCCCTGCACACACCCCTCCGACACGCGTCGGGCCGTCGAGCTGTGGAGGGCTCCTTCCTGTTGAAGGAAAAGAGACTGATGAAGAGCCCGTGCAGCTCAGACAGCCGTATCTGGATAAGGCTTAGAATCGGGCAACCTGCCACCACATTTGTGCTGCAAGACGCAGGAGACGCTTCACCTGCTTGTTTCTGAGCTCAGGAAATGCACTAAGTGGCTGGCCCACAGCACGGGCCCTGCGTACGTGCCAAACGCTGTCAGGAACATGGCTGGGATTTCCATGTAGGTGTCTAAGCCCACGAAGCCTGCTGAGATGTCCACGGTGGCGATGTTGTTGGAGTTGCCCTGGAACACAAGAGCAGAGCGGACACGGGTGACGTCAGTGTGAAATGTGCGCAAGGCCCAGGTGCCCTCTCCTGCACGCACACACACTTGTCAGAGCTGGCCACCTGGCTGCTCCTCAGGCCACAGACTGGCCTTGCACAAGCTGACCCTGCACCTGCCTGCATCATTCCAGGAGCAGGTGAGATGGCCTGTGAAGAAATGTGTGGTCCCTTGTAAGGAACTATGCACATATAAACCTGCTGATGGGCTATGGCAAATTTCACCCCTTCATCCAGATCCATGGACTTTTCACAGGACAAACACATGGACCTCCCTGCAAGGACCTGCTGTCAGAGGGTGGTGCACATGTTCCTGGGGAGCACAGCTGCCTGGACCGGCCGATGGGGCAATGCTGGGCCAAAGACTAAAGGGTGGCCGCACAGCTGGGCCCTGTTTGACAGTGACATGGTGCATGTGTTGTGAGTTACTTGTGGAGGCAGGCCGCATGCTGGGGGAGCACAGCCCCCGGTGCAGACAGATAACTCACATGTAGCTTGCATGTGGGACCTGAGGACTGACTGCATCTGACTGTTGCCAAGATTCTGGTCAGTATGGCCCAGCCCTGGTGAGTAAATTGCCATGGGACACAAGGGCCAATGCCACACAGCTCACCCTGCATGTGACTGGCAGGATTTTAGATCCAAGAAAAGGATCTCCGTCTGGGCACAGTGGCTCATGCCTGTAATCCTAGCATTTTGGGAGGCCAAAGTGGGATGATCACTTGAGGCCAGAAGTTTGAGGCCAGCCTGGGCAACATACCAAGATTTTGTCTCTATAAAAAATAGAACAAATTAGTCAGGCATGGTAGTGCATGCCTGCAGCCCTAGCTACTTGGGAGGCTGAGGTGGAAGGATGGCTTGAGTCCAGGAGTCTGAGGCTGCAGTGAGCTATGATGACGCCACTGCACTCCAGCCTGGGCAACAGAGTAAGATCTTGTCTCAAAAAAACAACAAGAAAAGGATCTCCTAAGATTCTACCTCTCCACCTTCAATCTGTATTGATTCTGATGCTCTGTCATCTATTATGCCGACTTTTCCTCAGATACCCAAGGCATTTACGACCTGACAGCTCGTGTCTCTATCAAGCCTGGCCATGCCCCTCTCTGGAACCGGTTGTCTGCGGGCCCATGAAACAACTCTGGCTGGTACTCATCAGCTCAGCAAACTCAATGGTCAAACCCCACTCCCTTCAGCTGTGGCTTTGTTCCACAAAGACACCTGTGGGCCCAGGGGGCCACCATGGCGACGTCTGCCACGTCTCGGAGATGTGCATTTACTCCCACCCTCGCTGTCTTGCCCCAGGCCCCATCCCTTCAGTTTAACCTCCATTCCATGCCTCCCCATCAATCCATGTGACTCATGGCCACCTGGGCTCTCCTGGAAGGTGTGTCTGGGAGCACGTAATTCCTCTGTCTGGAGCCCTTCCCCAGGGAGACTGAGGAGCAGCAGGAAATGTGGCAGCTGTGGCAGGAGGGAAGAGGGGAGGGAGGACAGAGTCCCACGCGCTACCTCAAGGGCAATGTGGCGAGGTTAGAGTGGGTCTGATACCTGGGAGGTCTCTGGTGACCCCAGCAGGTTTGGCCATGCACTGAGTGCTGACCATGGTGTTGTTTCAGCAGCCAATAGCACATGCTGTGTGTTCTGAGGCTTTGCTGGTACCAATAGTCCAGACATCGTGTGTTATTATTGCCGTATAGGATGGAAACTGAGGCACAGAGACCCAGGGACTGAGTACAAGCGGAGGGCGCACAGATGAGTGCAGGCACCCATGCTCCTGCCCCCTGCCGTTAAAAACTGCCAGGCTGATGGCAGGAGGCAGGGACAGGGCAGAAACCCAAAGGCTCTTCTCCCAAGAAACCAAACAGTGAAGGGAAAGAGACTCAACCTAAAGAAATGGGCCCTGGAGAGGCAGAAAGATGAGAGCTGGGGGCTGGAGCTATAGGGAGGGCAGGAGTGGGTGGCAGCGGGGCCTGCTCTGCCGCTCACACCATGACAGGCTGTGGCCCACCGCTGCAAGGCCTGGCTCTGCTGACTCTGCCTGCTGAGCAGTCCCTGGCACTAGGAAGGTAGCTGCTGCATGAACACTAGTGGCCCTTGGACACGTCGCCCAGCCACCGCCGCAGTGTCTCATGACCACCGTGGAGTCGTGGCCACGCCTTGCAGAGGAGCAGAGTGGACTCCAGAGGCTGTTTCGTCGCCCAGAATCACAACCACGTTGTGGCACAGCCCAGGCTCAGTCGGGCTCCTGATCCTCACAACAGCCTGGAACTATTTATCATTTCCTTTTTATAAACAAGGAAATTAAGGCACAGCAGAACCTGGCAGAGGCCACCTGGCTTAGAAGTGCTGGGAACCAGCACCCAGGCCTGCGGCCACCTGCACTGTTGGCAAGAACACCCACTCTCGTGGCCCCACGCCCGTGCTCCCCACACAGATGTAGGATCCCACAGGGGGAGTTGCAGCTGTTACAAGGAGACGGAGGGTTGAGTGAGTTAGAAGGGCCAGGGCGACACCAAGACGGGGCTGAGAATCAGCGTGTCAGCCATGGTCTACGCCACAGTGCTTGAGGACTTACAGATTTCTGTAATTCTGTAACTTCACCCCTGTCACCTTTGGGCTTCAGTGTCAGAGGGACAGAGAAAAGCCTACAACTGTGGGCTGCTCTGTTGATAAGGCCGGGAGCACCAGGAGATCAGGAGAGGAGGACAGGACAGGGAAGAGGCCAACCTGTCAGTACACAGAACCAGACACGCCCCCGGGGCTGGATGGAGGAGGGGAAGAAGCTGGCACGCACAGAGGAAATACAGACCCTCACTGTCAAGACAAGAGAGTGAACCCAAGGTGTTCAGTAGCTGGAGCAAAATCGTTCAGCCAGGGAGCCAGAGCCGGGAGGGCAACTATGGCTGCACCCATCCTCCTGGGGACACTGGGAGGATGGATGGAACTGGATACCTTCAAGGCCTGTCTACCTGTCCAGGTGCTATTTATCTACACCTGTGCATAACCAAGGTGAGCTTGAGCTTGTCTGTGACGAGTCTTCAAACACCAGGGAGAAGACCTGATGACCCACGAGGCCCCAGGGACTACTAACCAAGTGGAGACACCAAATGGACCCCAGTGCGGACAGTCCTGATACCAGGGGCAAAGGGCATGAGAGAGCACAAGTATTATATTCACCGAAGAAAGCAAGAGAAACACATGACATGTTTCCCTAACTGCTCATAATAAACGAATCCAGGCCCGACCCAGCAGACCAACAATCCATCCAGCACTTAGGATGTCTGTCTTAAGCGACTAACTGTACTTTATCTTATAAAATACACGTAAGATTTCAGCATAATTCACTGTGCCATACTGACAGTTCTTTCACTGAATAAACATAACTTTCCAACTTGTGGTAAAATTTTCTCAAAGAAAAACTAAAAAATAGACAACATATAAAAAGTTAATAGTCTTCTACCCATGGTAATAAGGAAAACCTACCTGGAAATAGAAGAATGCTTGACCGAACCAATAATGCATTACAGTAATCTCAGCTGCATCGTGTCTCAGGGGCTTCCAGATGAATTTAGTCATGACAGTCTGAATCAAGAGACTAAATGCTAAGACCGGAAGATTGTGTGGTCTAAAGAGCAAGGCTGCCAGAAGAACTAATCCACTATATATCTCCCATAAACCTACAGTCTTGATTTTGAAGTCTGCAGCAATGACTTGAGATTTAAGTAAGTCTTTGGTGCCCGTGAACAGAATGCCAAGGACAAAGATATAAACAAAACGAGCTTCAATAATACCCCTAAAAAAAAGCAAAACAAGTTAGATTCATTAGCACCAGCTAGAAAAATTCAAATACATATTTTCCCACAAAAAGTACACATGTCTATTTAGGTAAAGCCTAAATGTGCCAGTGTGGCTGGCTAAATGAGCCGCGGCACCCTCCCTGCCCCCCAGGTAATATCATGGAAGTGCGCATGTCTGCCTCTGCACATCAGCCAGAGGAGCACTCTACCTCAGCCAACAGGTGTGTCACAGTGGGCCCTTTTCTGATGCAGTCGGCTTCCGGGAAATCTTGCTTATTTGGCTCAAGGATCACATGCTGGCAAGACCTAAGCCATGCCCTGTAGCACGCCAGAAAAATCCACCTGCTTTGCACAGTTAATTTGAAAAACCATTGCACTAGTATAAGAACTAATTCTGTCAGAAACTTCCATGAGCTGAGGCAGGAGGATTGCTTGAGGTCAGGAGTTTGAGACCAGCCAGAGCAAGAGCGAGACCCCATCTCTACTAAAAATAGAAAAAAATCAGCCAGGCATGGTGGCACATGCCTGTAGTCTCAACTACTTGGGAGGGTGAGGCAGGAGGATCGCTTGAGCCCAGGAGTTTGAGGTTGCTGTGAGCTAGGCTGATACCACAGCACTCTAGCCAGAGTGACAAAGCGAGACTCTGTCACAACAAAAAAAAAAAAAAAGAAAAAAGAAGAAAAAACCTCCATGAGCTCAGGAATGCGAATCGTACAAGTGAGCGTGTTCACAATCAAGCAGCCTTAGAAAAGTACTTGCACATTTATCTGCACACACATGTGCAATGGTGCGGTGGTTCAGACTGCAGGCCCTGGGGAAAGGCGGGGCTTTGTTCAGCCCAGGCCTGCTGCTGACTAGCTCTGGCGTTGGGAGCAGGTTAAGCAAGACTTCTGACGCTCAGCTTTGCTATTTGTGAAATGAAGAGAAAATGGTATCTACACCCCATAAGGTGTAGCATTAAACAAGAGAATGCACATAAAGTGGTGCACAGTACATGCTTAGTAAATATTAAGTACTATTATGAATTAAGGATTTTAGCACTTCCTTTAGGGTCAGGATACAATCCATGATACTACGCCAAAGAATTTCATCTTATAAAACATATATATTCCTAAAACATAGTATTTTAAATAAATTTTGTAAATGAAATATTTTATATATACTAGAAAAGCTGATAATTTAAAATAAGTAAATCAATTTTAAAATGAAATATCACCATAACAATATAACTTTTAAAAAAAAAAACTGAATTTTTCCATCAGATTTTCTCAGAAAGGTTTATATATTTAAAAACAACAAAACTGTGATCAGTTTAATTCAGTCTGAGCACGGTGCACCCTGTGCCTGGCAGTGTGGCCTGCCATGATAGGCCACGCCCGGCTGATGAGCTGGGGTCAGGTACCCGGCAAGCCCCACAGGCCAAGCTGTGTGCGAATTTGAGAGGGAATGAAAGGCCCATGTGGGCTCAAAGAAGGGAAGAGTCAGCAAAGGTTGGAACCACTGGAAAAGCTTCAAAGCAGAAAAGGGACTGGCCTCTGTAACAAGAGAGGACGCCAGGGTGGGCTAGAAGGTGAACAGGAGCGAGAGCAGCATCAGATGCCCTCAGTGGGCCCTCCTCCTCGCCCTGACCGGCCAGCACCCGTCCTGCACACCCAGGATCACTGCAACTCGACCGGCCACTCCCGCCAGGCCCGGGCTTCTGAGTGGAGAAGAGTTAGGAGTTGAATGCAAAGGATTTATAATGCCAACGGATGGCAGCACCTGGGAGCTAACAGGAGAACAGCAGCTGTTACCGTGATCTAGAACCAAGATGGCTCTAGCATCAGGGTGGGTCTGGAACCAGGACGTATTCAGAATCAGGACTGAGGGGATACTAGAAATGGAAACATGGTACGGGAAGAATGTGAACCAAGCAGGGCATGTTGAAAGAAAGGCACACTGGCTATTTTCTGGACACCAGCAAAGTACACGCTGCAGTAAGCAGGTAAGGTAAGATGGACGAAGTCTTGAAATGAGTGATGCTGAAATCAGGTACATAGATCTGACAGGAAATGAGAAATTTATTTACATGCTACATTTTGAGATTTAAACAAACACCTCTAAATGTAACATCCAGTCTTGACATCTGCCCAAAGTCTCAGACTCTGAAGTTAACAGCCTACATCTCCACAGAACACCCCCCACACGTGCAACTCACCATTCTCTCCCCACCCGGCCTCCCTGCCTCAGGTGAAGACCTGCTACATGGCCATTACCTCAGCCAGGCCCCCTGGCGTCACCTCAAGCCCGCGCCAGCCCCATATCAGTCATTTGGTGTTTCAAGGTGCGCTCCCCAGAGCCACCCACATAGCCTGGCCACAGCCCTCAGCTCTCACCTTGACCTTTCCTCTGATAAGAAAAGCCACACTTACTAATTCTAGACATCTGTAAGGTACAAAAATGAGTACAAATTAAGGTCACAATCCAGCTATTATCCCAGATCCTAAATATAACCACAGTCATGTTATGTATTCAGTGTTTCACATAAACATGAAAGAAAACACGCACACACTTGGCAAGTGGGGGTCACACTGCAGTTTTACAGCCTATTGCTCCCCAGCGTTGTTCTAAGCTCTGTGAAAACATACCCCCAACAGCTACAAGATTCCTTATAAAACTTCAATACAACTGGGAGGATCACCTTACTATCTGCTGGATAACCACCTTGTCTTTACTCTTTGTGACCATAAATGACTCTTTGGCGAGCATGCTTGCATCCCATTCCCAGGCTACCCCTCTGCTTGTTTTCTTGAGATAAACTTGACAGAGGGAGGCCGTGCCAGAGGGTTAGCCGCATCTTCCAAACTTCCCTCCAGAACGGCCTCTGCTCATCCCACCCCTTGGGACAGGGAGGGAGTCTGTTTCACCACAGCACCATTAAAAACAGAAAAGCAGCCACTGTGACATGCAAAACATGGTATTCATGACTGAGCCCTCCCAGTCAGCACTCACATGCTCAGCTGGCGTGAGCTCCTGGCCCCTTACAGGAGCTCGCTGAAAACCATGGGGACAGTTGAATTCCCTAGCGTGCCTCATTTCCCAACTGCTAGGAAGCACCTACTGTTGTCACGTGTATTACTGCAGTAACCCCCTGACTGAGCAAAACTGAACCCTGCAACTATATGTTGCCATTAACTTGGACATCAATCTGTACTCATCTGTATGTCTATCTTACACCCTGGAGGTTTTATTTTTAGTTGAAAAAATAAATTTCAATGACATGACTTCCAAGTTGTCTGTCTCCTTAAAAAAAAGGCCCTAACAAAGCCATTAATTGACGTTTTCTTAGGCTCTAGTAGCTGCCAACTCACAAACACCAAACCCCAGTGCTCTAGAGATTGGCATGGCTTTTTTTTTTTTTTTTTTGAGACAGAGTCTCACTCTTTTGCCTGGGCTAGAGTGCCGTGGCGTCAGCCTAGCTCACAGCAACCTCAAACTCCTGGGCTCAAGTGATCCTCCTGCCTTAGCCTCCTGAGTAGCTGGGACTACAGGCATGCACCACCATGCCCGGTTAATTTTTTCTATATATTTTTAGTTGTCCAATTAATTTGTTTCTATTTTTAGTAGAGACGGGGTCTCGCTCTTGCTCAGGCTGGTCTCGAACTCCTGAGCTCAAACAATCCGCCCACCTCGGCCTCCCAGAGTGCTAGGATTACAGGCGTGAACCACTGCGCCCAGCCAGTATGGCTTTTTTTTAGAACATCAAATATTAAAATAGATCTACAAGCACACCACCATGTCTGCCCGTGCACTTACTTCACTTACTTTGAAATGTCTCTGTTGTCCTGCTGCCACGGGAACAGCACATTCCCAATGGCCGCCCTGTAGCAATAGACGCCTAGCAGCCCCAGCGCCAAGGCCGCCTTGGACACGGGGGAGCAGCCCCTCTGAACCAACATGAAAGTCACAAGGAGGGAGAGGGCAGCCAAGACCGAGAGCTCCGCTTTGTGATCAGAGCTGAAATAAGATAGAAAATGCCAAAGTTACTACCAAATAGCGATGCTATCAATCTATACCAAGTGGTTTTCCAAGAACTATATTAAAAATAACAGATTTTCCTGAAAAGTAAAAATAAAATAAAACTGTTGGTTATTGAAACTCACAGAAAGGTTCTTAAAAAGTAACAAGTAATAGACTGGCAACCTGAACTCTTCATTTTTCACTCACCAGGGCCCCACCCTTAGCTCCGGATGATCAAAGGCCAGGCAGCGACACATAAAACAGTCCTCTTGTCCCCTGACACCCTCTTCCGGGGCAGCCTCATATTTGCCTGTGTACACCCAGCTCGCCTCCTGGCTCTAGCCCTCTCCCATTTACTCGGTAACATGGATCAACTCAGTAGAGCCGCTCAGCCTCGTGCAGTCTGCTGTCCCCTGCTCCTGGGTGAGGAGATGGTGTGGCAGTTGACAGCTCACCTGAGGATAGAGCCTGAGGTCCTGCCCCTGTCCCTGTGGTGCAGCCGCTGCCTGGTCCTGCCACCAGCCTGCTACTCAGCCCAAGTGGGAACATTGGGAAGGCTAGTGTCCCTTCTGTTTTACTGAGTGACACAAGTCAAAGCCCAGAAAGTTAATAGCTGTTAAAAGCACAAGTAAATATTCTGCCAAGGTATACATACAAATGGAAAAACTTCTTCAGAAAATGCTGAGGAAAGACATTGTCCGTGTCGGGCTGGGGCTCTGAGAAGGGAGGGGCAGACCAGAGCCACATCAGGGCCTGGGCCTTACCTGGGAGGGGGTACCTGGCGTTTGTTTATTATTGCTCTTTAAATCGTATGTATTTCTACACACCGTTCTGGATTGTTATGCAGTAGTCCCCCCTTAACTGCAGCAGATATGTTCTAAGACCCCTAGTAGATGCCTGAAACTGCAGAAAGTACCAAATCCTCTCTCTCTCTCTTTCTCTCTCTCTCTCTCTCTATATATATATACATATACTGTTTTTTCCTATATATATATGTAAAGTTAAATTTATAAATTAGGCACAAGATTAACAATAACTAACAATAAAATGTAACAATATACTGTAATAAAAGTTATATGAATGTGGTCTTTCTCTTTCTTTCAAAATACTACAATATTTGCAGACCATGGTTGATCTTGGGTAAGCAGAACCAGGGATGGGGGGCTACTGTTATATCACAATTGGGAAAAAAAGCAATAGTGAAGCAGGTTTAGACACCTTTTAAGGCGTGGAAGGTTGCTGGGAGGTACAAAACAGAGGTCTCTTTACAAATTGGTGGGAATAATCTCACAGGGAGACTGACGATGCGGGAAGGTCTGGAGCAAGCAACAGGCAGCACTGCACGCCCGAGGGACATGCCACGCGCATGCTCAGTGCATCTGGGCGTGACAGCCAGCTGATTCTCTCCCTGCGCTTCAGTTTTCCAGAGAAATAAGAAATGAGGTGTCACTGTGCTGTTCCGGGACCCAGAGGTCCATAATGCATCTAGCCGCTCTAGGCGCGCAGGCTCTGGCCTTGAGGCCAGCACGTCCCACGTGGCTTCCCCCTAGCTCCACTCCCTCTCAGCCTCCTCACCGATAAGTGGGTACAACTACGTCCTCTCCCCAGGGTTGCTGTGCAACTGAAAGTTGCCAGCACACAGCAGGCAGGCGCCTGAAAGATGCTGACCTGTGATGAACGGGCTTACAAAGGCTTGGCTAATTTAGCTAATACTTAGGAGAAATTTCCTACAAGAATTACTTGGTCAGAGGAATCCATAATTTCATAGTTTTCGATGTGAATTTCCAAGTATCTTCCAAAAGAACTATACCAGTAATATGGCCCTAGCAGCCCTCACACACTCACTAAGACTGGGTTTTATCATTTATTTTTATTTCCCTATCCTAATAGGTACAAAGCAACACCTTGTCACTCAACGTGCAGTGCCCTAATCACCAGGAGTGAGCACTTCCCTCTTTTCTGCTGGTAGTTTTGATGGACATTGTTTACAGCAGTCAGCTCCCTGTATGTCACTCTCGCTGTGAGCATTATTTCATTTTGCTGCTCTTTCACTTTAGTTTCCTAAGTCTTCATTGCTAGACAGTTACAATTTTCAATATAGTCAAATCTTGATTTTTTCAAGTTTCAAGTTTCTACTATTTACTTCACTCCTTACTTCAAATCCTCCCTCCTTCTATTAGGTTTTCTAGCCACTGGTGACAGGCTCAGGAGGTGGCCAAAGATTCCCCCACTTGGCTCTGCCCCTTTCAGGGATGGGGCGAGAACAGGGTGGGTGAAGGGCAGAGCTGCCCACATAGGCCCTGTCCCGCTGTGCCTGGCTGGCCTAGTCCCACTCCACAGCTACCTCATGGGGACTGTCAGCAAGGGTGTGACAAGTAAGGGCACAGTGCACAGGGCCATGGCCCAGAGGATGGGCAGCGGCAGTCCGGAACAAGTCACCAGTGAGCTGGACCCCAAAAGTGTATCTTTACTACTATGGTCATTTTAAAACTCACAGGCTTTCAATCATGAACAATTACAGTGATTCAGTACTAATAAAACACACCTATTAGGCTAGCTTCAAAATAAATTCACCTTTCAACATTGATTTGTGGGTTTTGGTATACTTTCCTATTTTTTCAGATCTCAAATATTATCCTCTTAATATGTAAAATAAACCTAAATTTAGAAACAGAAGAGCCTAGCCTGTGATCAGCCAGCTGTGGAAGGTCCAGCCTGCGGCCACAGGCGGGTGCTCTCACCTGGTGAGCCAGTGGCCGAGGTCAGGCCGGTGGGCCCACTGCACGCCCGTCTGGTTCAGTGAGCGCAGCAGCCGGCAGCAGGCCAGTATCAGCCACGGACTGGCCAGCACCATCCACTTCTCATGGCCTCTGAGCACTTCTGAGAGAGAGGAGCTCACGTGCACTCTGTCCTGCTCCCGCGTGTCATAGCCGGTCCTGTCCTGCAACGCTGGCGTGGCACCAGCAAACCCTTGTTCCACACGGAAGCAACACTGAGGCTCACCGTCATCTCTCAGAAAGTAGCTTCTGTAGATTTCTTGACTCAGAGCTAGACACAGGGTGTTCACAAGGAAATACCAGGTCTGGTGTTCCTCCTCCACAAAGCTGCTGGCACCCAAACTCACGACGTGGCCCACTGTCCCAAACACCATCAGAAGGTCTAACTCTGACCACCCTGAGTTGGGAGGAGCTGGATTCTGTAAAAAGGTAAATGTATTCTGTAAGAGATAATTACACACACCTTACTGCCTGCACAATAAATCATCCCCTGCAACAGACACCTGCTATTCCGCAAGCCCAGGACCTGCTCCCCAGCTCTGCCAGGCCCTTTCCTCTTCAGTGGGACAGCCCCTCCTCCCAGGACACAACTGGGGGGAGTCAAAATGCGCTCACCCCAGCCAGGGGGACGTGGACACAGCATGGTCAGTCAGCTGTCCTCACACTTGACTGCAAATCCCAAGATGAGCAAAAAAGAGCCTGAAAATATTTAGACCCCTCTGCGCGGTGATGGAGCCCAAAGAGCTCGCCCAGTGGCTTCTGCAGGCCCTCCATGTTCCCTCCTCTGTGCCTCTGCAGAGCCCAGGTCTTCAGCTGGCCACGGCCAGTTCCTGCTGCTTGAAACCAAAGAACCCCAATGATACATTCTACCAAACGAGGCATATAATTTCTCCATGAATTTTCTAGCAATCCTGAAAGTTTCCACTGAAATGGTTAATCCTGTTGAAATAACAAAGTTGGCATCACAGTACTATCCTTTAAATATGCTAACTTAAAACATTCAAAATTAAAGATGAGGACTCAATTACTGTCACTTATTCTTTTTGATAACTATTTATTGTACAGCTGGGTACAACAGAGAGGGAGATATTGTGACCCTACCTAGGCCCCAGGGATGCCAGTGTGGGCAAAGGTAATCCCAGCTCTAGGGAAACCTATGGCCTGACAAGATAGACACATAGCAAAGGGCCTCTGATGGCTCTGTGACAAGGGCAGGGGACGAGGGCTACATAGGCATGGGGGAGGGGGGCAAGTAAGGCCTGCAGTCACTGCACTGGGCCCGTTGGTCCTGGGCTCCAGCACTGTGGACCTGACTGAGGCCATCTACTCCTCCCCCACTGCCCAGCCACCAACACCCAGCTAACGGATGGAGGTGCAGAGGCCAAAGACTAAGAATTCCAATGGAAAATGCCAGCCTTGAAAAGAAATCTGGACTTAGGAGAAAAAGTAGATTCCTAAAACAACAGGATGAGTTAGGAAGACCAAGCCTCCTTTTAATCCTCCCTAGTGTCCAACCAGCTGACTGTTTCTTCTTCCCTCCGCTGCAGCTCAGACACCTCTGTGGAGAGATGGTCTGATTCGTGCACCCCCATCAGTGGGGTGCCCATTCCTCTGTGGCAGGCAGCTCTTTACAAACACCTTTGTTGCAGTGCAGGAACACTGTTTTGCTAACCAAGAATTAAGGCATGTGACTTCCCAACACAGCTCTGGACACGTGTGTCAGGACACCCAGAGGCCTGGCAAGGCTACTCAGAGTACTCCCCCGCCGTGCCCTGCCCCACTGTGCTCGGCACACACCAGGTGTTCAACTAGCATCTGAGAAATGAAAGACCGGCTGAAATAGCAACAGCAGCCCGTGCAGAAAGACAATGTCGTACTCCCAGGAAGCAGCCGTACCTTACTCGGGAGACTTCCACGGATGAACATCTTGGTCAGAACAGACACGATCGCACAGAGCAGGGCAGAGATCAACGCCATCACTCCACACGCCGCCAGCCACGGGAGGCCACAGAAGTAGCACGAGCTCTTGGCAGAGGTGCATACAATGACGTGAATGGCTGACAGAACCAGGAACATCAAATAAAAGAGCAGGGAAATCACCGGAGAAGACAGCGGAACGTCCAGCTCAGCCTTTCTGTGCAGCGCCTGCGGGATGCTGAGTAGAAGCAGGGTGAGAACCTGGGACAGAGACAACGGCAGCGTCTGCAGACTGCTGGGCTTGAAGAAACCCACTTATTATAGAAAGCCCAATAAAAGGTTATTTCTAATTAACTGCCATGCTGGCTTGATTTTTTATCACCTGCAGCCTGTGAAGCCACTTAATACTTGACAATACTTTGTGCATTGTCATAAATCAGGACACACAATGAAAAAGACAAGAAAATTAGTATTTTCCATTTTTACTAACACCAATATATATATTGTAAACTATAATATTTTGGCTGAGTTATCAAATCAATTTAACACCTGATCCGTGACTCTATGTGAGCATCTGTACCTCCAGAACCACAGCAGTCCCCACCATCATCGAGTAGATGTCGTACTGGGCCACTTGTGTGCTCAGGGACAGACTGAGGGTCTTCAAAGCATCCAGGTACTGCCTGAGAACCTTGGTCCCCAGGTTGAAAAGGACTTCTGAATTATTTTCCTCCAAGTACAGTTTGATCCAGTTCCCATGCAACTTCTCTGACACTTTAAACTGCTCAAATCCAGGATCTATCAAGAAGACAGAAAGGTTACACGCACACACACACATACATCATGGACATACATACATGTATATAGTTTCAAAGTATGCAGTTATTCATGGCATATGGTAAAGTCTTCAATTTTTGGGACTGACACCTAATGAAGATGAACTTCTCCGTGGGGAGAGGGGGCAGGAGCACCTGCAGTAAAACCATAAAAGCTGAGGGTGCTGGTCTGTCAGCCCCAGCACTGCAGGGCCCTTGGGCCTTGGCGCATGAAAGGACACAAGTGTCTGTCCACTGCTCTGCCTGGTCTTCCTCTGCCTCCCTCACCTGGTCTTACTCCTCCTAACCCTTCTCTCTGTGTTTCTTTCCACTCTTTTCTTCACTGCGCAATATAAAAACAGTGCTGAAATGCACCACGTTAACAGCCCATGGTTTTACAGAACCTCTCTAATCCTTGCAGCACTGTGAGGACTGGGCCGGCAGGGGCCAGACCCCTTCTCTGCCAGGCCCATTTTCCAGTCCGGGCCCCTCTTCCCTTGCACTAACGCCACCCACCCTTCAACCTGGGTTCTCCTCCTTGCAAGTTCTCTTCAGAAAAGGACAGCAGTTTGCAAGCCCCTCCCTGCTCACACTGGCGAGCTGTGTCGCTAATGTGGACGCCCTGCTTCTGCATGAGCCCAGCCTTTGCTGCTCCTGACTCCCCCTTTAGATGACATGGCGTGCTGCTCAAGGTCGAGGCTGATGCGCTTCCTTTCCAGGGCTGGCTGGTCTTGAGTCTTTGTCTGGACCACACTCGCTTCTGACTAGACCAGTGTGCAAAGCAAGAACTTCCTTTCCAAGACTCCCCGGAATTTAACATGAGCATCTGGCTCCAGCAGAGCCACTCCAAGGGTAGCCTCAGCTACGCCTATCAGCCTTGCACCGTCCAACAGGACCCTGCACCAAGCACACTGTGAGCATGCCCTCAGGCCTTCCCCCATCACCACAGTGACACAGCAGCTGTTGCAGGTGCCCTGGCTGCTGGGTTCCAGGGCCCCGTGGCATAAGTTCCGGAGCATGAAGCCTAAGGCCTGCGGACCCCTCACTGCAGCCAGCACTAATGACCTATACTGAGTGCCAGTGCCTGGCACCTCTCTGAGCAGCTAACTCCTTTCATCCCCTGAATGATCCTATGAGGCAAGGATGAGTACCACACCTGTTCTCCAGAGGTGGGAACTGAGACACAGAGGGCAAATCACCTGCCCAGGTCACAGAGCTCCTTAGTAAAAGCTGGAGATGGAACTGGAACTCAGGCAGTCTGGCTCCAGGGCTGGCACCCTTAACTGCTATACCCACCACCCAGGAGTGGGGGGCACCTCTGTCCATACCCCACGACCCAGGAGCTACAGAGACATAGCGGGGCACCTCAGTCTACACTCCACTGCCTCTCTATCGAGGAGTCACAGAGACACGAGGGACATCTGTACATGCATCCAAATATTTACTGAACACTGACTACATGCCTGGGGCCGTGCAAGGGGCAAGAAATACAACAGTGAGCCAACAGGCACAGTTCCTGCCTGCTTGGATCCTGCAGGGTTAACACGCATGCACATGTGTAATTACAAGTGTGATTACATCACATGAAGGAAAAGTAGAGCGTAACGAGAGATTTTTGGTAGTGGGGAGGAAGAGATTTTAGACTGGGAGTGGGGGTGGGGGGCAAGAATGGTCCTGATATTTAAGCTGAAATGTAAAGGATGCCCCGGAATTAACAAGGTGGAAAACTGGGAAAGAGCACCCAGTCAGTAGAAACAGCGTGTGCAAAGGTTCTGAGGTAAGAAGCTGGTCCCACTAGACTGAAAGACAGCCAGATGGGTGAGCTGTCAGCTAGGTACCACAGAGGGCTTTGCAGGCCTTGTTGTGGCTTCAAAACTACATTTCAGCGTCAGAACACATACCCAAGTTTGTCTTGGGAAACGTGATCATTGACACCAGGCTTCCTGGGATGTAAGACCCCGTGAACTCTTTTCTCGGCCAAGGAACAGTCCTATGTTCATTTCCTTCCACATGCATCAGTTCTCGGTTTCTCTCTACCCTGCTGTTTCTGAAAGAGGCAAACAACCCCTCCAACATTTTTTTGATTTTGTTGGTGTCTTTATTGCTTGTTAGTATAGAAAAAAGGACACATTAATGAAACAACAAATATGCAACAGCTACAAAGCTAATACTATTTTTGAAAAAAACAAAAATAAAAGTAACACCTGTGCCTGGTCTAGACAGCAAGGTGCGTTGTAGCCAGGCCTCACCTTCAATGAAGTGCCCTGCCTGGCCCATCTGAGGACCGAGAGCTGGCGCTTGGTAAATTCTCCTCCACTTACTGCACCTGGTTTCCAACCATTCCTCAGCTGGCAGGCGACTCAGGCTTCCACACATGACTCAAGGAGGTCAGTTTATATCGCCACACAAACTCACGGTGTTCACTCTGTTCACTACTTCAAGTAGGAAAACCTGCCAACATCACATTAAATGCTGCCTCAAAATAGAAGCCCACCGCCTCCAGACTCTCAAAGGAATCCCAGTGTCAATCATGTTATTTTGATGAAACTGGATGTGTCAGAGTAAATCATCTGAAATGTCCCAGGCAGGTGCACTCTCCTCTCCCGGATCATTTCTACGGGCACATAAACACCCCAACTATCTCCCAGCCTAAAAATAAAAACAAAATGCCCTCTCTTGGCCCCACATCCACCTCAGACCCAGTCCATTTCCTACTGCCATCGGAACTGCTGCATCTGTTGTCTGCAGCCCCTCACCTGCACCAGCCAGCCAGGCCTTGCCCCAACAGCTGCATGTGCTGCTCCTGACAAAGTCACCAACAATACAACCCTGCCACGTCCAACAGTCAGTACTCAATTCTTCATCTTATTTTAGCAGCACTTGGCATAGCTGCTCACTCCCTCCTTCCTGGACACCAAACCCTCGCCCCACAAGCACCCTGCCTCACAAACTTGGTCCTCCTACCATCTTGCCCCCCTAGGAAATAGTTCTTTCCTTTCAGCTGAAAACCCTGGAGCTATTCTTCACACCTCTGATCTGCTTGTACCTTATATACCAGTGCACCAGTAAATCCTGTCTGCACGACCTTCGAAATGTATCCAGAATGCAACCACTTCTCCGGGACTCCGCCATCACCTGAGCCCTCACCACCCTCACCTCTGCCCAAAGTATGGCAGCCGCCTCCTCACTGCTCTCCTCCTACAGCACAAGGCTGAACCCTCCATGAAGGTACCCGAGAGCGCCCTGGAAAAGGCAAGCTGAAGATTTCAGGCCCTGCATGAAGTCTGGTAGCAGCTTCCCCCTTAACTCAGGACAAAGGCAAAAGCCCCTCCAACGCTTGAAAGGTCCTCACATCTCGGATGTCTTATCCTTCTGCCCTCCCTTGGCTGCTCTGGCCCCGGTCATTCCTTGAATTTGCAGGCACGTCCCATGGCAGGACCCTGTCTGCACTACGCAGCTGCAAGACTCCCTCCTAGACATCTGTTCAAAGGCCAGGCCTGCCCCGATGGCTCCCACCCACCTGCACGCCCCATACCTTCCCCATTTATTCTGCTCCTAAGAGATTCGTCACCATTTGGCATCTATCGCTGTACTTTTTCTCTCCTTCCTCTGGAAGGTTCCATCAGGGCAGAGTGCTTGCACTGCTGAATGCTTTATCTCAGGTGCTTTTAGCAGTCCCTCCTTCATAACAAGAGTTTGGTAAATATTTGTAGAATAAATAAATTTATGAAAGAATTTCACTTAAATAACTGCATCTATGGGTGTTGCTAAAGGTGACAATTAAAGTTCTAAGAAAACAATAACACACTTGCATAATCAAAGAATGTTGACTACGAAGTATTCCTGTGACAAACTGCACACCACAGAAACATCAGAAAAACACCGGCTCAATGGAAACATATGGTTCTGATAGAAGTCAACAACTATGGATTGATTTACCTTTTTCATATGACGGTACATTTTCTTGCAACAATTTGCTAAGCTGTACTGTATTTAAATGTAAAAATCTCAACTGATCTCTCATTGGTTTTCCTTCTACAACTGGGAATATAAGACTCCCTACACTGTCTTTTGGAATCGGCAGACCAAGCCCTATTGCTAGTGTTGCAGCCAGATCCGTCTGCTGAACTCGCTTTGGATGCCGCATATCACCTGGAAAAAAGAAAACATTTTCAGTAACAGGTTTCCAGAAAGTATAAGATGATAGTCATTCTTCAATTTGACCTTCTACAACGTAAGTCAAATTATCTATCTCTTCAAATCATTCAATGTAGATTCAGACAGAAAGCATCTCATTGCTTTTTGTGTCAATAAATCTACTAAATGCCCATTCTAAGTTGAGGATAATGCCTTTCCTATAGTAGCTTACAATGCCTTTCCTACAGGGAGAGCCCAGTGCAAGAAATTCAATACAGTGTGAGCTATGGTGCTGGGGATGGGCACAGAGGGAGCAGATAGTCCAGCAGACACCAAGGTAGGGTCACTTTGGCAAAGTAAACAATCAACCCCTGAACAAAAGTGAGGGTGGGATCTTTGAGGTCCTGCCCCTTTGGATTCGGAAAGTTCCACGCTCTGCTCTCTGCGTGCACAGACAACCCTCATGGAAGGACCTGAACCTCTCATGGCTCCTGAGCAGTAGCAGCACTCTGCTGGGGGGAGCAGAACAAGGCTGGGCTCATCTGGGCAGGTGCTGTAATCTACGTGGACAAGCAAGACACCTGCCTGTCCACTAAAGCTCTTCAAGCCCCAACAGGGGTTGGCCATCCTACTAACTCCTTGCAAGGAGAATGGCTGTGATAGCAGCACGCTGGGCTTAGGCCATCACTCTGCCACCATCCAACAGGACCTTGGACAAGAAACTCAACAGAGTCCGAGTTTCTGCCATCCGTAAAGACAGTAAACACCCCCACACCCCAGAAGCTATAAGGCGGGTCTGCAGGGGTGCCAAGGGGCCACCAAAGACAGGTGGTGAGGGTACTCAGTGTGAGTTTCTCAGATACTCAAGTGTGAGTCTGTGGAAGTTTTACTTTGCGGTAACTTTTGGTAGTATAGAATTTTTTCTCTTATTTTGCCAAATTTATAAATCATCTCTTGACCAACCCTTTAATGATGGCTGCTGGGTTATGCTTAGAAAGAATTTTCCACTCCAATGCTATTATTTGTTTTCTTCCAGTGCTTCTCTCTTCTAGTATTTTCTTACATTAAGTGCTTTGAGCTGAAAAAACAAAACAAAACACAAAACCAAATCCACCTTAAACTGCTTTTGGCACTCACACCCGTAGTGGCGGTGCTGGCACTACTACTCTGAGCCTGCTGCATGTCTACTCAGGACAAAGCGAACAAGTCACTACACGATGATCTAATTCTATCATATCTGGGGGTGCTGACAACCAGGATTCCAAGCTTAGGAAGAAGAAAGTAGAGATGTAAGATCTAAGAAGTTAATTTTAGAGTTTTGAAGGTGAATTGGAAGTATCCATATAAACTCAAGATTATTTTATCTAAAAAAAATCTCTTTACTCTCTCTAGAATAATGACTAACCTAGTATCAGTGAGTGCCTCTAGCTCTGAGACAGTAGTCTTCAAATACCACTTCAAACACCACTAAAAGGAACCAGGGCATCTTGGAGAAGTAGCTGACGGCAAGACTCGAGAAGGCAATGTGCATGACAACCTGGAACACGTTACAGACCACAGAGCAGTAAAACTATCGAAGACCACCAAGTTTTACCAAAAGGAATCAGGAGCTAATCTGAAGATGCTCCTACTGGCCAAAGACAGGACAATTTCAATATTAAAAAGAATAGTATCTACAGTGAATTGAAACAAATCAAATATGCCTAAGGCCACGAGTTAACAATGTTACCAAAAAAAGAACAAACTTAATTGATCACAGTTGAAGGATGCTAGCAAACTCATTCACTGATTTGAATCAGGTAATTAAGTGAGAAGAATAATCCATTTATCCTATCTCTTTTATATAAATGATACCAGTGAGGAACCAAAAAGTAGATGGAGGAAGAGTTTCTTTATAGAATTATTCGGGCTGCGGTGGGGTCTGGATGCATCCCCCAAAACTCACGTGCTGGAAACTTGCTTCCCAGTGCAACAGTGTTGGGAGGCAGGGCCTTCGGGGAGGTGTTTAGGTCATGTGGGCAGAGCCTTCACGAATAGGTTAATTTGTCACAAAAGAGTTTGACCTTTTTGCTCTTCCAGTTTCTGCCATGGAAGTACATAGGGTTCCGCCCTCCAGAGGACACAGTAGCGTTCAAGGAGCCATCTTGGAAGCAGAGAGCAGCCTTCCCCTGAGGCCAGTGCCTTAGTCTTGGATTTCCCAGTCTCCATAACTGTGAGAAATACATTTCTGTTCTTCATAAATTACCTGGTCTGTGGTATTTGGTTATAGACAAATAGACTAAAACACTGGCTAATTAACAAAAAAGAGTTATAGAATTAAAACATCACAATTTACAACCTCTACTGAATTAACTTGTTGACCATCAGTGGTTACTAACATAACAGTAAAGCAGAGAGCCAGGCGGTATGTCCTTCCTGCTAGAAGTAGCGCTGCCCAGACCACACCAGACCAAGCCAAAACAAATTAAACCAGTGAAATGTGAATCTGCTCTAGCCTGTGGGTCAGAAGAGATTTATGGGATGGACAGAAGACATCTTAGCACACAGTGCAGAGAGCAACTGGCAAAATCCAGACTGTGGGAGACTCCACAGAACAAATAACCAGGTTTCGTCCAGAAATAAACTGTGGAAAAATAAAAAAGGTTGGGGTTGAGGACCTATAGATCAACAGAGCCTAAGAGACACACACAAAAAAATCACAGTGCATGGATCTTATTTGTACCCTAATTCAAATAAACTGAAACAACTAAAGAGAAAGAGAAACAAACACTGGAAATTTGAACACTATTTGATGATATTAAGGAGTTAATGCTGTTTATCCCAGTATACACTGGAGTCTATTTTTGGCCTCTTGATTTTTGCTCTTTTAATTTGTCTGACCAGTTCTTGGCAGCACAAACTATTTTGATAAATGTAATCTTATGATACAAACACAATGTAGGCCACATGATAGAGTGAGTTGTATCTCACAGGCAATGGAAGCCATTGAAGACATTTCAGCATTTCAGGAAACCACTCTCACAGTCTGGCAGCAGTCTCTACTTCCACTAGCCCTATCACGTTCCCACCTAAGCAATATTTTAAACATTCAATCAGCAAATACTGATGAAGCACTCACTAGGTGCCAGGCACTATTCTAGGCTTGGGGGATAGAACAACAAACATGGTAAGACATTCTAGTAGTGAGAGGCAGATGATAAAATACACCCGCTTTGGCCTTCGTGGAAGTCCAGGAACAGGCACGCTCTCCTTCCCAGACCCCTTGACCCTGGAGTGACCCAGACCTATGCTTCTCACATGGAGATGAGGACCCTGGGAAGGGGCAGTAACGTGCTGGTGGTCTATGAAATCACACAGTATATAGTCCAAAACTGTTTATTTTTCAGAATAATAAACACCTTAACATTTATTTTTATTAAAATAAATTTGCATACATTTTTAAGATAAAAATAATGTAAAAGAAATAGGAAAGTGCAACTCAAATACAGGAAAAAAACAGTTAAGAGAACCTTTCTGTGAGAGGGGCCAGAAGCCAGAAAGAATTCAAAGTAGCCATCATAAATATGTTCAAAGAACTAAAGGAAACTACACTTAAAGAAATAAAGAAGGGTGTGATGGCAATTTCTCATCAAATAGAAAATACCCATAAAGGTTTAGAAATTATTAAAAAAAAGAATCAAATGGAAATTCTGGAGTTGAAAAATGTAAGAACCAAAATGAAAAATTCACTAAAGGGGCTTAATAGCAGATTTGAAGTGGCTGAAGAAAGAATCAGCAAATTTAAAGACAGATCAATAGAAATTATGCAATCTAAAGAACAGAGGAAATTTCCCAAATTTAATGAAAAACATTAGTCTACACATCCAAGAAGCTCAATAAACTCTAAATTCAATAAACACAAAATACACTGACACATTACAGTAAAAATGCTAGAAGACAAAGAAATGGCAAACCCAATTAGATTAACAGTTGACTTTTCATCAGAAAGCCTGGTGGCCAGAAGGCAGTGGGATTACATATTCAAAAGTTGAAAGAAAAAGCCTATCAAGAATACTCAGTAAAACTATTTTTCAAAAGAGATGAAATAAAGATATCCCCAGATTGAAAAAAATAGACAATTCATTGCTAGCAAACCTGCCTTGTAAGAAATACTAAAGGAAGTTCTTCAGGCTGAAAGCAAGGGACTCCGGATAGTAATCTGGATCTATAAGGAAGCAAGGAGCATCAGTAAAGCTAATCACGTAATTATAAAAAACAGTATAAAAGCATATTTCTTCTTTCTTTTTTTAATTGATTTTAAAAGCAACTATATAAAACTGTATAATTATCTAAAACTATAAAATTATGCTGTGGGTCTACCACATATAGCAACATAATCTATTAGACAATAATAGCACAGAGAAGTGGGTGGGGCACAGCTGGAGTCAAGTAAGAAAGTGACATCATATAAACACGCAGACCCACACGGAAAGTCGTACATAAATATTCGCAGCAGTATTATTTGTAATAGCCAAAAAGTGGAAACCACCCAAATGTCCATCAACTGAGGAACAGTAAATAAAGGAGGTAAATCCAAACACTGAAGTGCCATTTGGCAACAAAGAATGAAGTCCTGAAACATGCTACAACTATGAACAGGAAAGACACTCTCCTAAGTGAAAAACGCCATACACATAAGATGAAATGGTTCCATTTATGTGAAACATCCAGAAGAGGCACAAGAAGCAGATTAGTGATTGCCTGGGGGTGGGAGTAGTGGAAGGTGACTGCCAACAAGCATGGGGTTTCTCGCTGAGTTGATGAAAATGTCCGAAAATTGACTGTGACGATGGCTGCCCACCTCTGTGAATATACCAGAGTACAGTCTGGACATGATGAGAATAAACAATATGGCTGTTCTTCAAAAACAAACAGAACCAGCTATCAGGGCTGAGGCTGGCTGTTTGGGCAGCACTTGCAGGCACTCTCGGCTGCCTCGTCCTTCCTGCCTCTGATCTATTAAATACCCAGTTTAGAGATGAAACATTAGCACTTTCGATAAACAATAGCCCTAATAGTCCTATAATAAAAAATGTCAGCTTAATCATCTCTTTTCTTCTCTAGACTATAAGCTCCTCAAGGGCAAAAGCTGTGTCTTACTGTTGTGTGAGTCTGCGGGGCCCAGCACAGTGCCTGGCCTATCACAGGTGCTCAAGACACCTCTGCTGAATGAATGGATGGATGGATGGAAGAAAGGGTGTTTCTTGCATGGCGCTCTCACTCATGGGGGTGAGCCACACATCAACATTGTTCTGGTCACAAGGTGTGGTGAAATGCAGGTGCAGAAATCTGGGTGTTGTGGCTCACGGTTGTGTGCACACTCACAAGGCAGGCTTCCAGCCTGGCACCTGGGAAAGGCTCAGATTATAAGAGCCAATAACATCTTAGGAGGTCAGACACTCAAGAGGAGGAAGCTCCATAAAAAGACAGAAGGAACAGGTGGAGATGCTTCCCCAGCCGATCCTCACTTACGTGGAAGAGCCATTCATTTGGCAAATATCTGCTGGCATCTGTCATGTGCCAGGCAATGTTTCAGGCTCTAGACATTGTAATCAGCGAAACAGACATGACCCTGCCCTCATCTGGCTTAAACCATAATGCAGAGGCAGATATTACATGAATTACACAAATGAATAAATCCCACAAGTAAGTTTGCAGTGGCAAACTGTGCTAAGGATGCTGACAGAGAGCACACGATGCTATGGAAGAGTCTGACAGAGGGATGTGATTTAGTCTTGTGGGTGAGTGAGTGATGTTAGTGAGTTGAGACCTGCAAGAGGCTGCCGGGGTGAGGACAGGGGCACTGGCAGGTGAGGAAGAGCGTGCAGGCCTGGAAGACTTGCAGGAGGGCAGAAGGGCAAAGGCCAGGAGGCAGTGTAACGGGGAGTATGGCTCAAGACAAAGCAGCAAGGTAGGCAGGAAGCCTCGCCCAGGATTTTTCACTGTATCCTAAGTTCAGCTTTACGTGTGGGGAGACTGGTGATGTCATGAAATGCGAGGAGCAAGGGAGAAAGACAGTAAGGGGGAACCATATGAATGGTGGTAACATTTGCTGTCATGGAAATAAGGGAGAGCAGATTTGGGGGTGAAAAAGTTTGGATGTCATGTTGTCACACTTGCTCTACCTGCAAGAGATACAAGTGGAGGTGTCAGGCGGGCAGTTGGGTAGACAGGTCTGGAGGTGAGAGGAGTGGACACAGCTAGAGGGATAATCTGTCAGGTGTGGGGCCTATCCATGGCATCTGCAACCACAGAAGCGGTGAGACCATCTCAGGAGAGAATGCAGAATGAAACAGAAGGCAGTCCGGTAAGAAAGACCAGGGAGAGGAAGCCAAGCCAGCAGAGAGGATGGACATGGCAAAGTGACAGACGTGGGAGGAAAACCAGAAAAAGTGAGGTCCCTGAGTCTACAGGGCCCGCAGATCTGGATGGGACTGACGGGCCAGTGACAACAGAGCCAGAAAGTGTCTCCTGTGCCTGACAGCGTCTCAAAAATAACTGCTGAGCCCACGGCGAGTGTCTCAGTAAAGCGTGTAGGCAGAAGCCAGACCCAAGTGGCCGGGAGGGAGGAGCTGGCAGCAGAGTCAGGGCATGGGTCAAAGTGGGTAGTGTGTATCTGGGGGGTGTCTCAATACTGAAAGGTGGGTCCCCAGTCAATCCTGCTGACTGGATCCCATGACTCTTATTGACATTGCTATTCAATATGTGGTTTTAAATAATGAAAACTTCCTTAAAAGTTTAAGTATGCATGTTTCCTCAGTCCACATGTGTGGTTCAGATGTCTCTAAGCTACTAGCAACTTTTTTTTTTTAACAGTTCCAGATATCCAAGCAGTAACATTCCTATTACGAAATTCTAACAAAAAATATCTGTGTTTTAAGGATCAGGGCAAGGGATGTAAACTCCAAATTCTGATGCCTTTTGCCCCGTTAATTTTCATTCTCACATAGCTCAGGATTATTTCAACCTTGTCCAGCTTCTAAAAAATGGTTTTTAAAAACTAAAACCAGACTATACAAGACAGATATAACACAATTTCAAAATGTTAAACATCCCTAAATTCTCACCAGGTTTCCTTTCAAACACAGAACTGATTAAAACCAGAGGTGTGTTCACTTCTTCTGTGGAAGAAGCCCCGTGACTTCCTGTTTCAGACATGCCATGATCACCACAGAGAACCAGCAAATTGGGTAAAAGAGTCTCTCTCTCCTATAAGGCAAAGGAAAAATATTTCAAGGGTATTCTGACTGAAGAGAACACATGATCTTGTTAAGAAAACAACTTTAGAGTATAGCTTTACTTTATAAATAGCAGAAATAGTTCTTCCTCAGTGAATTATATATTTTTTTCCTATCAGCTTATAGCCAGATCAAAAGGTCAAAGTCAAATAATGTCATAAACGAAACACACAGAATCACACACAGCTCACAGAACGCAGCAGAGTTGCCCTTTGGCCTCTGCTGGCAGAGGATTTGTATTTGGTTTCTGTCTTTGCCACTTTCAAGCTGTGAGACCCTGGCACATTACTCTTCACACCTCAGTTTCCACATCTGTCAACAGAGATACTAGCAGAATCTATTTCATAGGACTGTTGTGAGAATAAAACACAAAGCGCGTGGAGAGAGCCCTAACCCGTGCGAGGAGTGCCTACGAGGCTCCTCTGCCTGTGAAGGCTCCAGCCACTCGGCCTTTGCTGCTCCGGGACGTGCCAGCAGGCTCTGCCTGACCCTCGCTGTGCGTCGGGCTGCAGTGCACCTGCACGGGCAGCACGTGCTGGCCCTCCCTCCCTCCCCTCAAGTCTGCTAACACCGCACGCGTCCTCAAGGAAGGCTTCTCTGAAGGTGCTATTTAAAACCATGGCCTCTCCTCAGCACAGGAGAGCTGGTCCCTCCTCCTGCCCTGCTTGTCTGTGGCACCAATCACTTCCTAGCACACTTAGCACGCCTTATTTGTCTCTCCTGCCCAGGATGTAAGCTCCACGAATGGCTGTTGACTGTCTCACTGTCGCACCCAAATGCCCAGACAGAGTGATGCAGAAGGTATTCAGGAAATATTGTTCGAATGAACAAAGAAATGGGTGGAGACAACAGGAGTCACTGCTCTGCAAGGCTGCGGTGCTGCATGTGGATGGGGGCCGTGGCTGGCAGACTGACAGTGGACACGACATTCACATAGGTCACTTAAGTTCACGTGGGCAGTTTTATTTTTTCTAGGAAGTATCCATGTGAAACTCCGTCACACGATGCACTACAGCGAGCCTCACCTTCGACAGCAGCGCGGTGTGAATCCTCATCAGGACGCCGTCCATCTCGCTGAGTTTACGCCCGATCAGGGGGCTATGGGGCCCGGAAACGTGGCCGATGTGGTCCAGCCCCAGGTAGTGGAGGATTAACATGTCCCAATCTCCTCTTTTTAATACTTTGTCCAAATGCCTCGTGACATTATTATCCACCTTTAAGGGGAAAAGGTACACATAAGCAGCTCACCTAACTTTCCCTTGATCTTGACTTCCCAAGGAAAAGGAAAAGTCATTTTAAAATCTGGGGGTTTATTTTAGGTAATAGGACTTGTGGGAGTTGAAAGATAAAAAAAAGCTGTCATTAAAAATAAATAAGTAAATAAACATTAGCATTAAACTTTTACTAATACTGTTTTTGTGACCCTAGGCTATGGATCAAACATATTACACTGACAATTTAAATGAGTTGTTCTGACAAAACTTTTCCTGTGGGATCACTGCTAGTCTTAACTAAAGCTGAGCAAATGAGCAAGTTAAACAGACCCCAAGTTGTCATGAAGTAACTGAGGGCAAAGGGCAGTTAACTAAAGACAGGACGGTACCCAGAGTTAAAGTAAGCAGGACGGTGCAGCTGCTCTTGCAGGGAAAGGGACGCGGCACTCAAGGCACACATCATGGAGAGACTGGCCTGGTCAAGCCCGGATCCCTTAGCTAGCCCACCTTCCTCCCACTGAAACACCTACAACAAAGGGTAGTGTTTCCGAGTAATGCCACATACAGCATGGGGAACTCAGACAGCACTGACAAGTAACTGCTGTGTCTGCAGAGGTCAACCTAGAACCACTGTGGCACAGACTGTCAGCATAAGCTGGACTGCACATGCTCCGCCAGGCCCAGCAAATGAAGGGGCGAGGCTGTCTGACTGGATGCCAAGCGCAGACACGCGGGTGTGCTCCTGCCTCTGCTCCCGGGTCAACTCTTTAAGTGTGGGTCTAATCTCATTCTCTCGTTGGAAAAGCAGGGCCAAAGCCCCTTAGCACCAGGCTCTGCCCAGCTGACCACCTGTTCTCAGAGCAGAACGATGCTCCATCTGCAGAACCAAACAGCTTCACAGCTGCAGGCTGTGGAGTCCTGCAGCTCTGCCACCTGTCCTGTCCACTTGGGAAGTCTCCACTCACCCATCAAACTCAGCTCAACCTTTCCTGATCCTCTGTACCCCTCAAAGGATGCTCAGCTGTTCCATGCTTTGGGCTGCATAAAACTTTGCACACAGGGTTTCAATCTCTGGGTTGGAAACAATTATGTGAACAGATCATTTTTATAATCTCTCCATTCTACTCCTGATAAATTAATAAAAGCTGCATACAAAATAATATTGCCTCTCACTAAGTAATGGTGGTGCCAGGTTCTATCTAGTATGACAGATTTCTCTTATTTTAAAAACTGACCTCTGTGTAATCTGACACAAAAAATGAGGTTGTTCCATCATATTCTACAAAATGCTTTGGGAATAATTTAATCCATGTTTCATCTCCATAAAAGAATATTCTTTTCCCAGCTGCTTTTGCCTGTCTGATCACATTGTCTTCGAGTAGCGCAGGAGAGTTGAGGTTCCTGACGATGTCAATGAAGCCAGGGAGGCTCCCTGTCATCAATGCCTGCAGTGGGAAACATTCAAGGGTTAGACCATGGCGTCCGAAAGCACAGCATGAGGCGGGCATGGAAGATCATGTTACTGGTGAAGCAGGTGGGCATGAAACTAGGGCATCCCCAGGACTGGAAGCTGAGTTAATACTAGGACAGCAATTACGGTAAAGAAGGAAAAGCTACACAGATTCTGGGCAAAAATGGCAAACTCAGTAATAAAGACGTAACCATATTAGAGAACATTTGTGGCTCAGAACAATCCTTTCGGCTGCTGAGAAGATAAAGGAGGTGACTAGGGACACCCAGACAACAGCAGCAGCCAAAGCTACAGAGTAATAACAGGACTGAAGCACATGGCAGAACATGGTATGCGTGAAAACACGAACCTGCACATTCAAACACTCTGTCAGGTACCTCCTTAAGATTCAGACCTGCTCCATGTGACAAGCAAACTCCATTAACTCTAACAAACTCTAAACTCTAACCATCTAGCAATTGCAATGCCCACCTCTGAGTGAAAAATCAGGAGGAAAGCAGTTCCTAAGTGTGCACCTCCGGAATTTGCAGAGTAAACTGGGCCAGGGAAGTTAGTGGGACCATCCCTTTAGCCACAACCCTCAATGCTGCAATGTATTTTCAGAGGAGGGTGACATGTCCTCATACTTTCTGACATAGAGTTGAGCATAGGACCTCAGAGGCCACAGTGATGGGCAATGGATCTCTGTGACTTGAAGTTATACAACCACCCACATGCTGGCATCAGGGGCCTCTGTGATGAAAATCAACAGGAATCTGGATAACGCCAATAGGTGTAGTGATTTTGCCAAAACTTCATTAATAGCAAATGAATACAAATATGAAATGACCAGACTTCTGAAATGCCAGAGTGAGGAGCTCAGCAAATCCTCTCCCGCAAGAGCAACAACAAAACCATTTGAAACTGTCAAAATCAACCATTTCAGAACTTTGGAAAATCACCAAAATTATACAATTGAGAAGTGCTTATTCAAAAAAACTACTAAATCTCGGTAAGAACAGCAAGTACCTGTGGTGTTTTCACACAGGGCAGCTACCATCATCACCCCCCCGCCCCCAGCTCCATGACACAGCAGCACGGAGGGCCCGACCTGTCATGGACTCTAGGTAAAAGCCCCGCGCCCAGGGAGGCTGTGAGAACACAACAGGGAACGCTGACATCCCACTGCCCGAGTCTTCCATGCTGGCCGCAGCAATCACGAAACCAGGCTGAAACTTAAAAAGGGTCAGATCTGAGGACTGAGGCAGCTAGAGTAGGCTTTTGTAAGCTACCACACAATCCCGGAATCTGGAAGACACACTGAGGAGACCAGAGGGGGCCTCAGTTACCCACTCCTTCTGGCTGAGCAGGAGGCCTTGCTGAAATAAAAAGCGAGTCAGGGAAGGGTTGAAAACTGAACAGTCTTTGAGTCTTTTCACATGTGTCCCAACTCACATAGATCCCCCAACAGAGGGTGGACTCCCTACGGCACGATGTGCTTAAGCTCAACCTCTGACCAGGCACTGGCTGACCACTAAGCTGTGCTGAGCCAGGGGCAGCCCTCAGGAAGACCAGCGAGAATTACAAAACCAAAAAATAAACAAACAAAACCCTAAGCAGAGACATCAGTTGCTGTGCACTCTGGGGGAGACTCTGCAGAATTAGTTTAGGCAAGTCACCACACAAACAAAGTAACAGCAACAACCACCACCATCACTAGGGTGGGGGATCGGAATCAGAGCTGAGGCGGGGGCTGCAGGGACATGCACATTTGTTAAACCTCGTCACAGTAACACAAAAATATGTGCACTTTACTGTAGGAAATTATATCCCAGTAAAGTTACTTTTTTTAAATATGACCCTCCGTCAGCCCAAAATTCTACTCCTAAAAGGCAACCAGTTACTTTTAGTAAGTACCCTTTAAGACTCTTTTCTGTATATATACAAATACAAATATACAAAGCTACACATTTTTACCAAAATGGCAGCAAACTATACAAACTATTCTGCAACCTGCTTTTGTTTTTCCATTAATAATACATCACAAATCTCTTTCTCCAGGAAACATACAACTACTTTATCTTTCTTTAAATAGCTACAAGTATTCCGGCATGTAGATATACAATAACATATTTAACCAAGACCATTTTAATGGACAGTTTTTTCATTTTTTTTTTGATACAGAGTCTCACTCTGTTGCCAGGACTAGAGTGCCGTGGAGTCATGCTAGCTCACAGCAACCTCAAACTCCTGGGCTCAAGCGATCCTCCTGCCTCAGCCTCCCAAGTAGCTGGGACTACAGGCATGTGCCACCATGCCTGGTTAATTTTTTCTATGTATTTTTAGTTGTCCAGCTAATTTCTTTCTATTTTTAGTAGAGACAGGGTCTTACTCTTGCTCAAGCTGGTCTTGAACTCCTGAGTTCAAACGATCCTCCTGCCTCAGCCTCCCGGAGTGCTAGGATTACAGGCGTGAGCCACCACGCCTGGCCGTGGACATTTATTTTTAAAAACTTCCGTGGAAGTGCCATTTGAGCTGAGACCTGAAGTTTGAAAAGTGTTGGAGGTGAGGTTGGGTTTTCCAGGGGAAAACACTGCAACTGCAGAGGGCCCGGGCAGAAAGGAGCAGCGAACCCGAGGAGCTGAGCTGTGTGTGATCTTCACGGGTGAAAGGCACCGGCAGAAGAAAAGTGGCTCCACTGAGGATGCAGGGGTCAGCAGGAGCGAGACCACACAGAGCCTTGGGGCCAGGGTCAAGGTGTTCAGTGTTCAAGCCAGGCAGAGGATAAGCCACCAAAGGGCTGTAAATAGAGTGGCATGCTCTGCTTTGTGTCTGGATGGGACTGGGGTCCTGGGGACTTCTAGAGTTCAGGCTAGAGACCACAGCAGCCTGGACTGCGGTGATGGCAGTGGTGACACGCGCTCAGTCGACTTACATTCACATCCACAGTATTAGGAGAACCTTTTTGCCTCCTTGCTGTGAGGAGTAGATATTAGCAATCTTTAGTTGCCCTGTTCTGATTACTATTATAGTAAAGTTAAGAATTTTTTCACAGTTTACTGGCCATTTTACTTTCTTCCTTTGTGGATTTCTTTATATACTTGGCCCAGTTTCCATCGGATTGTCTGTCCTTGATTTGAACCTCTTTACATAGCACAGACTTAACATCTTGTTGTCATGGACACTGCGAATAATTTTTTAAGTTTATCGTTAGTTGACTTTGTTTGTAATGTCTTAGCCATATAAAAGATTTCTGTTTTCATGTAGTTGAATCTGTTAATTCTTTCCTTTGTGGCTTTTACAAGGCACTTCCCTCCTCCTCACACTAGCTTGGGATCCCACTGATATTTGTAAAAAGGGCAGGGACTACGGTAGCCTCTCACTCCAGGAAGCATGCAGGCGCAAATGGGTTGCAGCTCGCTGTCCTAGGAAATCTAACGGAGGGCTCGAGGCTGTCAATAAATGCTAGCTATTATTATGACTACAAAGTCCTGGAAGAAAAGGAAGGCATTCAGGCCGGTTCTCCTCTGCAGGGAGAACTAGCCTCTACCCTGTCTGTGGAGTACATTTCTATACTTTCCAAATAAAACTCACTTTCACTTAAAAAGAAAAAAAAAGGCGGCATTCAAAAATTATACACTTCTAAAACAAAGCTGCTGCAGGATCTTAGCAAGTGAAAGCACACTGGGGACTCAGTCTTAAGACATCGGGATCAGCATTTGGTGCCAATGGTATCCACGCCAGGAGATTAACTAAGCCCCTTCTCTGATTGGAGGCAGGGCAGGGGAAAGTTCCTCAGCCAACACTACCCAATCCCAAGAAATCCAGAGCTGTGTAGCCCTAACTCCAGCTATGGACTTCCTGTTCTAACTCCTCCTTGGTGGGGACCGAGGAGCAAAAATTTGCAGAGGACTGAAAACAAAACACTTGCTTTGGGGTGAGGCTCCCCAGCAAAGGTGAAATGAAGCACATGGGCTGGAGACAGGCAGCCCTAAGAACCACCCTGCCAATGTGCTGGTCTAAACAGAACCCGGAGCCTACATACCCACTCATACATTTTCTCAAATCTTCCCAGAGCCCTAGTAACAGAATAAAGGAGAAAAGGGCTCCTTCCAGACTTCTGTGCAGCAGATAAAGAAACCGGAGTCCCTGACGATCCAGAGCCTGGATGCCTTTCTTCCAGCTTTCTCCGGACTAGTTTCAGTAGAACAGCAACCTTTGACAGGCTTCTTGTCTAGAGCACTGTGTGGTACACAGCAGATGCTCAGTAAATGTTGCTGAATGAAGGACACCTCACATCCAAAAGTGGCAGAGAGAGTAAGAGCCTCAAGAAAAAAGCCAGTGAACAATCTGGCACTGGCCTTGTTCCAATCCCAGACTGCTCTTTTTATCCAGGGAACATTTGCTGAGCACTTACAAATGCTGCCCTCAAGCCTTAAATCAGTAAGTGGCTCCTTCCGACCAAAGACTAAAGTGTCACATGATCAACCATAGATGCAAGGCTCAGTCGGGGACTTTTATGCCACCTTAACATGCAATATATCCACAAACTTTTAAACTCCTCTGCTCCTTTCTGTCCCCACCTCTTTATTCATCCTTCCAGTCTCAGCTTCAGTGTAATTTCCTCAGACAGGCTTTTTCGTCCCCCTAATCATAACCGAACCCTCCCACCCAGCACTGAGCATCACATCCTGTTCTGTTTGCTCATGTGCTAACCATGCTTTATAACTGCAGATTTATTTGTATGCTCATTTGTTTAATGGCTGTGTATCTCACTAAACACTAAAAGCTCCATGAGGGCACAGATACAATTCTTCCCTAACTGTATACCGATTAAAGTAATAGCACATAGTACTTGCTCAATAAACAGTTTTTGAGGCAATCAACAAAGCTTTACTTTTTTCTTTATCTGTGGTTCCTGGGTAAAGCACTACACACTCCAAAGCCATGCTCACTAGGCTGACCGCCTGAAGGTTATATAGCACCAACGGTCAAGCTGTTTTGATCGTTATGTGCTATATTACAATTTGGGATGAGTCATTTAAACTGATTTGAGTTTGTTTCCTCATCTATAAAGTCAAGAAACTGAACTTGATAACTCTAAGGGCTCCTTCCAGGATTATAACTGACCCACTGACGATTAAAGAGGAAAACAGGTTACCGAGTAGGATATCTCTGACCGCCTGAAGGTTATATAGCACCAACGGTCAAGCTGTTTTGATCGTTATGTGCTATATTACAATTTGGGATGAGTCATTTAAACTGATCTGAGTTTGCTTCCTCATCTATAAAGTCAAGAAACTGAACTTGATAACTCTAAGGGCTCCTTCCAGGATTATAACTGATCCACTGATGATTAAAGAAGAAAACAGGTTACCGAGAAGGATATCTCTGGTGTTAGGCTGGCCTGGGCAATCTAGCTCTAAGTCCTCCATAATTCTCATGAAGCATGAACTACTTGACAAGGGGCACTAATAGTGGGTCTCAGTTCAACCCTATCTGTGAGGCTCCTCTAGCATTCTATTGTACCAGCTAATTTGATAGCATCAAACAAATTTCCACTTAGTTAAAACTGGGGACTCTAAGTCAAAGATTACAGAAAATCCCTCTAAACCTTAAAAAGAGCCAAACTATGATTCATAAAACATTAATGCAAACCTACCTTGATACGAGGCATAGTAACCGTAGGTGGCTTTGCTTCTGCCACAAAACTGTGAGATGCTCCTTTTTCCACAAGATAAGTTGTGTAGGGCATAAATTTCACACCCTTTGACCCAAACACAAAATCATCTCTCAAGGCATCTATCAGAACAATAACAACTTTACTGAAGAGAGGCGGTGGAAGCTTGGTCCAGTTAGAACTGGATCCTAAGGGTTTGAAAGAAAAAAAAGGAAATTGAAGTTTAAACTTAGCGTTCAAGCACCTTCATAATCGAGCTTCTGCCTACTTCTCCAGCACATAGTCTGCCATATCTGGACCCAAAAGAAGGAGGCCTGTATTTGGCAGGCAGTACTGGGAGGAGGGAGTGTTAATGTCAAGTAATCTTAGGGCGCCCTAGTCGAAAGTAGTGAATTGCCCTTAGCATGGTGAGGAGTACTGGGACAGGGGAGTCCCTAGATAAGGGTACTGGAATGGGTAGGACATTTAGGGAGCTTGACCTAAAACACTGCGCTGCAGATAAGGGATTAGTGAGCGTTTACAAACACTGTTTACATGGTCAGTGGCTGGTATTGTGTGCATCTGGTCCAGAACTGGAGCGCCTTTACCTGGTGTTTGTTGCTGGGTAGGTGAGGGCTAAGCAGGGGCTTAATGCAGGGGCCTTAGTCACTGGGCGGGGAAGGTCTTGGAGAAATGTCACAGAAGAAAACGCAAGGGGATCAGCAGGCATCTTATCTGTTGTGTCCTATTGGGCAAACGGGGTGCCCGCAACAAAGAGTGACCCAAAGGGCTGCTCAGGAAAGAGGAGGAGGAGTCACTGAACGGGTAGAGCTAGAGAGGGGCGGGATACCATGTATGGAGAGCTTACTTTGTGGTGATCAGGAAGGAAGGTCGAGGTGGGGCCAGTAGTGGTGGTTGCCACAAAGTTATAGGATACAGAAAAAAAAGCTAGGGAGGTTTAAAAAGGGGAGGAGGGGGACCACAATGGAAAAGACCACCAGGGAACACCGAGGTTCAGAAAAAGGGTCCTCTGGGGGAAGTGGGGCCCTGGGAGCGGAGACGCCCGGGGAAGTGTCCGTACCCGCCGAGGGTTCGGGCGCTGGGGGCTCTGCTCGGTGCTCCGCCCTGGCAGAGGAACGAACGGGAGCTGGGAAGAATCCCCGAAGGAAGACTGCGACCCCCAGCACCTCGATCGCCACGCAACAGGCAGCGAAGGTCCCGGACCCCAGCCGCATCGTGCACACCGCCGGGCCGGAATGCAGGAACCAGACCCACTCCGCGCCTGGCCCAGTCGCAGCCACTTCCGGCGAGAACTCACAGGTCTGACGAGCGCCGGCTCCCTCCGTTGCGTCACTTCCGCAGGCGCGCCGGAAATACGAAAGGGACGGGACTCACAGGCGCTCTACGGCCGCCTTACCCCCGAGTCCCCGCCCTCGGAGCCGTGCGCCTGTGAGTCAGGTTGTTTTTAATTTGTAATTGACACGTTGTAATTGTACATATTTATGGAGTACGATTTGATATTTCTGTACATATATGTTGGGTAATGATCACATCAGGGTAGTTAGCGTGTCCATCACCTCATGCATGTCATGCCTTTGCGGGGAGAACTTGCAAAAGCCTCTCGTCGATTTGGTGAGGTACCTTACTGTCAGCCGAAGTCACCCTGCTGTGCGCTAAACCCCAGAACATATTGCGCCCGTTGACCAAGCCCTCCTCATCCTCCTCTCCCCTCCTCTCCAATCTCTAGTGACCACTGTTCTACTCTCTTCTTCCAGGAGACCTCCTTGGGATACTTTAGATTTCATATGTGAGTGAGATCATGCAGTGTTTTTCTTTCTGTGTCTGGACTATTTCACTTAATGTGACGTCCTCCAGGTTTATCCGTGTTGTTGCAAATGACAGGATTTCATTCTTTTTATGGCTAAATAATATTACATTGTGTATGTATATCATATTTTCTTTATCCATTCACCCATTGTTGGACATTTAGGTTGATTCCGTATCTTGGCTATTGTGAGTAGTGCTGCAATAAACACGGGAGTGCAGTTATCTCTTTAACATAACCGATTTCTTTTCCTTTGGATATATACACAGTAGTGAGATTGATGGTGATATGGTAGTTCTAATTTTAATTTTTTGTGGAACTACAATACTGTTTTCCATGACGGCTGTACCGACTTTCAGTCCCACCAACAGTGTGTAAGTGTTCCCTTTTCTCCATATCCTCACCAACACTTGTTTTATTTTGTATTTTTGATAATATCTATTCTGCTAATAACTGGGGTGAGGTGGTATATCATTTTGGATTTGCATTTCCCTGATAATGAGGGATGTTGAGCATTTTTTCCTATACCTCTTGGTCATTTGTATGTTACTATTTAAGAAATGTCTATTAAGGTCTTTTGCCCATTTTTTAATCAAGTTATTTGTTTTTTGCTGTTAAATTTTTTATATGTTCTGGTTATTAACCTCTTGTCAGGTGCAAATATTTTCTTCTTCCAATGTTGCTTTACGTGAATGATCTGGGTGAGGAGAGATGAGAGAACAGTGGTGAGAATGGCCGTACACAGACAGAGTTAGGTGGATAATGGAATATAATTCCCAAATCCATAGGCAGATCTCTGAAAGCTGCCTATGGCTCCGCTCCAGTCTTCACCCTCCCAACACTCTCGCATACTGCCTGTAATGTATCTGAAGTGCTCTGTGTCCACGCTGTGAACCTACACGGTGGGACTTCCTGCAGGCACACTGCTCCAATCTTCACCTTCCCAATACTCTCACATACTGCCTGTAATGTATCTGAAGTGCTCTGTGTCCATGCTGTGAACCTACACAGTCGCACTTCCTGCAGGCACACTGCGGAGGCATTTCTGTTGCCTCATCACCATAGGCGGCACCTGTTTTTCTTTATGCGTTCACTGGATACTTGCTAGATGGGGGGCACAGTCAAAAGGCTTTTATTTGACTTATTTCACATCCTCAGAACCACCTGGCAGCTCAGGCTAACACTGTTGTCCTCCTTTCTCAGGTGGGGAAATGAAGGCATGGAGGACACAGGCATGACACAGTCAGTGCTGCCAGCCTCCTGGGCTCTCTATCCAGTAGAATGATATTATATTGTGGGTTGTCTTGTGACACATTTTCTCAGTTTTTTTTTTTTCTATCTGACAATGTCTTTATTTTTCCTTCATATTAAAAAAAAAATTTCCACTGGAGAGAGAATCCTTCCTATCGGCACGGTCCCTCCCAGAGCCCCCAGCCTCTTGGCCCTGCCTGTGCTCACAAAGTGCCTCCACTTCTTGGGGGACGATGTCCTCAGCCAGTGCCCACCGCGTGGCTGTCCCTGCTCCTGCTGCCAAAGGCCAGGTCTGCCTGTGTGGCTTCAATGAGGGTGCAGGCTGTGGGGACAATTGGGGGTGCAGGCATCACTTCAGAGGAGGGTCTGGGCCTGGTGGGTAGGGGCTGGGTGGGGGAGGGCAAGTGTGAGGCTGGGAGGGGTGAGGACGGGAGGGGTTAAAGAGAGGAGGGGGTGAGGGTTAGGGTTTGGGGTTAGGGTTGGAGTTGGGCTGGAGTTGGAGCTAGGGCTTGGTTTAGGGTTAGGGTTTGGGATTTTGGGCCAGTGCTAGGGTTAGGATTTTAGGGTCAAGGTTAGGGTTAGGGGTTTAGGATTAAGGCTAGGATTGATGATCCAATGGTTAACTATAGGCTAAGGTTGGGGTTTAGGATTACAGAGGCAGGCTCAGCTCACAGAGCTGTGTGTCTCTAACACCCTTGATTGGCTTCCTTTGTAATCCGTCTGTCACCTCTAATCTCAAAGCTTCCTTAACCTGGCAGCTCAGCCAAGGGCTTCTCTGTACACACGAGGGTCATCATCAGGTCCCATTTCCCTTGGAAACGTGTTCATAATTCCCCATATTATTGTGTAATGTTTCCAGAGAAATCTGGCTCTCTGATATGTACTTAAAATTCCTTGGCCTCCAGTTAAGAAGTAGATTTTTCAGCAACCTTTGATTCTCTTTTTCATGCATTCTTCTAGCAGAGCCACTTCCTCACAGAGATTACTGTTTCTGGTTGCTTTTACAAGCTACTTTTACAATTTTTAAGTTTTTCCAGGTTTTTGGCCCCTGGTTAGATTTAGGTTTAAAGGTTGGAGTTGGGGTAGTGTTTGTGGTTTAGTTGGGGTTAGGATTGGGTTTGATATGGGTTAAGGTCACTGTGATCACCTGGAAAGTGACTGGGCAGCAGCAGCTTTCTGCTTGCTCAATAACTCTGTCTCTTGCAAGACTCTCAGCGTTATTAAAAAACAAACAAACAAACAACTCTGTCTCTTAGAAATCTGTCTCTTAGGAATCATGTTGGCAGCAAGGGGTCTGACAGCCTTTCCACTTGGCTTGCTGGAGTCCCCACTATCTTCTGTGTCCCCATCACATCCTGGCAGTGTAGAGTGGTGGGGGGCTGGGGTTGCAGGGTTTCTCAGCATCTGCAGGAGGGAGGGCAGTCTGTCAAGGGTGCTGCCTTCATTGGAGGGCAGTGGGTGTGGCCTGGCCAGGTTCCTTGCAGTCCCCTGAAAAGAGAGAATTGGCGATAGGGAGCTGGTGATATAGGGCTGCTGCTGACAGCAATACCCACATTTCATGGATGCGGGAGTCACATAGGCAGTTGGGAACAGTTTTCTAATGTCACTCAACTCTACTGATGGGCACAGTGGCAGTGAGGGGAAACTAAATGGGATCCCACAGTCTCCTGGAAGCTTAGGGAAGTAGTGTTTTTGCTGAGATCCTCAGTGTCTCCTGGAGAGTGGGGCATCAGAGATGCATTTTGCCAGGCCCTGTTTGCATCCTGGACTGGGGAGCAAAAGGAGAGGGTGTCAGTTAGGGTTAGGGTTAGGGTGTTAGGGTTAGGTTTAGGGGTTAGGGGTTAGAGTTAGGGGCTAGGGCTAGGGCTGGGGCTGGGGGAGGGTTAGGAAGGGTTAAGGGATAGGGTTAGGGGTAGGGGTTAGGGTTAAGATTAGGTTTGGGTTAGGGGTTAGGGTTAGGGTTAGGATTGGGTTTAAGGTTAGGGTTAGGGTTTGTGCTGCCTGGTTTGGTTTTAATTCTCCCTTTCTGGGGTGCTCTTACTTCAATTGTCAGGGTCAGGAAGGAACTGGGTGCTCACTATAGAGAAGTGTGGGGTGAGGGAGTCATGTGGGCCCTCATCCCCACCCTGCCCACTGCTGTCTGCCATCCCCAGCCCAGAAAGACTCAAACTCTCCTCTTTCCCCTTATAGCACTGATGAGCTCGACTAATATGTCTAAGAGGAACTTTACTAAAAACTGAGGGAAATGAAGAAAATACAGTTGGCATAGAAATAAATAGTCAAGGGCATATTCTTTTTTTGAGACATGGTCTCACTCTGTTGCCTGGGCTAGAGTGCCGTGGCATCAGCTTAGCTCACAGCAACCTCAAACTCCTGGGCTCAAGCGATCCTCCTGCCTCAGCCTCCCGAGTAGCTGGGAGTACAGGCATGTGCCACCATGTATATGTTTTTAGTTGTCCGGCTAATTTCTTTCTATTTTTAGTAGAGACGGGGTCTCCCTCTTGCTCAGGCTGGTTATGAACTCCTGAGCTCAAACAATTGGCCCGCCTCAGCCTCCCAGAGTGCTGGGATTACAGACGTGAGCCACCACGCCTGGCCCAAGGGCATATTGATTGTAGATAATGGGTGTCTGGCCTCAGTCGGCTGGTGGGCAGCACTGGCTTGTCTGCCGGTCTCCCTGGTCCCTGTGGCCGCCCAGCGGGGGTGCGGAAGGTGTGTGGGAGGCTGATGAAGTGCACAGTAGGTGCTCTGCTGGGCAGCCCCATGCAGTTGGCGCTACCCACTGGTCTCTTCCACCTGGAGCCTCCACCCAGCCCTCCTCAATGTCACTCTGGACACAGAATGAGATGCCATTGGCCATAGACCAGGTGCTTCCTCTGTCCTGACCATGCCTGGCTCTGCCTGGAGATGCCACAGGGGCTGCGTTCCCTGCCCTTCCACTTGCAAGGGGTCTCCAGGCCCCTCGTCCACCTGGTCCCACCCAGTATGGGGCTGTGCCACACTCCAGAACCATCCCCAGCTCTAATAGCGGCCAAGTGAGAGCCGTTGGGGCTTCTGCTGTTCCCCACCCAGTGGGGCTGGCCCACGTCCACACAAGTCCTGACTTCTGCATGGGCGGCTGCAGTTCCCAGGGGCGTCTGACCCTGAAGGGAGCCCCGTGGTGGGGAGGGCCCGTGGTCCTAGCTACTCATCAGCCTCAACCACAGCACTGGACTTCTCTGCCCTGAGGGTCTTGTCTGGACCCCCAAGTCCCCAGTCTTGCCCACTTGGGATTGCTGGTGCTCGCGTCTGCCTACGCTTTGGAGTGGTCTCCAGTGAGACCCCTGAGCACTGCTGTTTTCTGGTACCTGTCAGTGGTGAGCAGAGGGTGTTTGTTGTCATCCTGAAAATTGGGGTGGGAGAACACCCCAAAATTGATGACGACCCTCCCTGCAGTGTGGCCTAGTGACCAACTGAGGTCGTATGGCTCGGTAAATGGGGGCCTGTCCAGGAGCTGGGGAGAGGGCACCTTGTCCAGCTGCGAGGTGAGCTGGTGGGGGTGGGGGTTACATCATCCTTGCCTGCTGGGACCCGAGCCCTCCTCTAGGGGGCCTGGCCCCACTGTCCCAGCCAGCCCATAGCCACCTGCCACCCTGAGCCTGATTCCAGCCAGACCCCGTGTGGCCTTCCTGGTGGAGCAGACTGCTGTCCCCATGGTCTGTGTCTCCTGGGGCTCACTCCTTGGCCATGCTCACTGCTTGGGTGGGGCGTCTACTCCAGGCTGTGGCCCAGCAGTGTTGGGAAGGGCAGGCCATGGCTGCTGCACGTGGGCTTAGTGGTGTTTGCTGAGGGCACCAACGGCAGAGCAGGGCCTCCCGGGGCCGCAATCGGGGTGCATTTAGGGAATCTCATCCAGAGAACCCCCTGTGGCCTGGCACCTGTTCAGCAGGAAGAGCTTCAGGCTGGAGGGGAGCCATTTTCCTGGTGCAAAGCCCACCTCAGACAGACCCTGTGAGTCCTGGGCAGGAGGGACGGGAGGTCAGGCTGGCATCCACCAGCGAGAGTCCTTTGGATGGGGAGAACATGGATGTACCACCCAGTCTTAGCATGTGCTTGGGGTATCCCTGAAGCCCCAGGGGCTCGACCTGAACTGTGGGCAGGAAGCGTTGCTTTACCAAGAAGCCGTGAGAGTGGAGGATTCCACCCCAGATGCTGCTGCCACTGATACTGAGGGGAGGGCTCAGATGAGCAGGTGGATGCTTCCTGGGGCCTTGCCAGAAGTGGGTGTGTCTCCTTGAGGGGCCTAGGATGGCTGCGTGTGATGTGACCTTGGCTCCTGACCCTTGGGGTGGGGGAGCCAGCATCCTGGAAAGTGGGGACAAGACCAGGTGGTGGCTGCACCGTGGGTGCCCAGGCCCTGATGCCAGCTGGACAGAGCTGGCAGACGGCTCTGCCCTCACCATCACAAACGTGCCATGTGCTTCCTGGAGACCCAGAACCAGGAGCTCCAGAGGCCTCAGTAGGGTGCCGTCTGCTCCAGGGGATCCCTGTGCTCCTAGTCCACCCTTCCCATCAGGGTGGAGGACACCCGGAGGCCAGCTGTTGCCAAAGGAGATGGGATAAGGCCCATATGCATCAGGGCCGAGGGCCCTTCTGTGCCCATGGAGGAACTATCCTTAATGAACCTTAGTGAACACCTGTCTACGTGGCCTCTGACCCCACAGACTTCAGGGAGGGGACGTGGTTTCTCATGGGCTCCTGGCTGCTACCACGAACACCCACTTGCACCAGAATTTGCCACCAAATCCAAGGGAAAAGCAGGACAGCCTGATTGCACTTGTGCAAGCCCAGCATCTTGGGGTCACGGCTCCTGGAAACTGCACTGCAAAGGGCAGTGGGCAACTCTCCTGGCTGTGCCATGGGCCTGGGAGCCGAGGAATTGGAGGGATCGGAGGAAGCTGGAGGAGGGCCCACGGCTGCCCAGAGCCCCTTCCTGCTAAGCCCCCTTCCCACTTAGAAGGCTGGAAAGAGGGGGTGTGGTCCAGCCTTTCCTAAGGAGATGATGGCATGTTTCGGTGAGGGTTGGGCAGGCCCGGCAGGTATCCCATGCGGTGCTTCCTGCGTTATGTGAACATGCCTGGCCCTTGAGGGAGGTCTGGGATGGAGAGCTGGAGGAGGCGAACCCTGCTCCTGCTTCTCATTGTTTTCCTTGGCAGCTGGACGCTGGCAACTGTGCCTCTGCCCTCTGGAGGGGCCCCCACATGTGCAGGCTGCGGTTCAGCGGGCGCTGGGGGTGCGCCGGTCCAGGCGAGGGCAGATCCCCATGCAGGTCCAGGTGTGGGTGAGGGGGTGCGTGGGAGGAGGGGACACCCTCCAGATGCCTCAGGCCCCTCTCCGGGCAGTGATGGCCCAGCCCCAGGTTGCTACATGACCCTCTCTTGCACAGGTCAGGGCAGGGCCTCGTGGCTATGGATGTGTGGATGGGCTAAAGCCCAAGTCCCTCACCTTGGACTATCTTCAGCAAGGGGATCCGGGGGCTTAGGGTTAGGGGTGACCTGGGGGGCCCAGACAGGGCCCTGAAACACACTGCAGCAGCATCCACACAGGTGGGGCCTGCACCTCACTTCCTGCAGGGCTGACCACCAGCTGGAGGTGGGACTGGCCAGGCTTGGCCCAGCCATGTCTGGGACGAGAGGACATTCCACGGGGGCACCTGGGCCTCCCTCCCTGGCCTGTGGCTCCTCTGGCACAGACGAGGGTCAGAGAGGTACAGGAGCTGCCCTGGGTCCTGATGGGTGGCATATCCCCAGCAGCAGGCTGGCAGAGTGGTGTGGTGGTCAGCATGCTGGGCTCTGAGGTTCAGGCTCTACCTGCTGTGTGACGGTGGGCCAGGCACATAATCCCTCTGTGCCTCCATTTCTTCAACAGCCAACGGGGGCAATAGCAGTCCCGACCTCCTCATGGGAGGTCTGAGGATTAAAGGCACAAGGCAGTGCCAGGCCCACAGTGAGAGCTGGGGGAGGGGTGCTGCCATTCCAGGACCTGCCCAGGGAATCCCACCACCTCCCCCTCTGACAGGTGAGGAAACTGAGGTTCGAGGTGACGTGACTTGCCCAAGGCCACACACCGTGAAGAGCCAGCAAGGGGCACCTGCCCAGGTCTGTTCTCAAACCCAAGGTCAGGGCGCACAGCAGGGCCCCGGGAAGGGTCTGGGCCCTAGACGCTCCTCAGGGAGCAGACCAGGGAAGACACCTTGGCGAGTTCAGTAAGTTGCTGCAAAACCCATTTATTGCCATTTGACCCCTCCTTTTGTGCCTCCGTTTCCCAGAAAATGAGGCACCTGGAGATGCTGTGAAAGTCCAGGGACCCCCTTCCACAAAGCCCCCTCCATGGGGACCGTCCTCAGGGCGGGGGGCCAGGCGCCAGCCAGGGGGCCCGGCCGCAGAGCCTTGGGGGAGCCAGGTTGATCCTGCGGACGTTGAGCTCGGTGGCGAAGGTCCGTGCCTTCTGGTAGAAGAAGAGGGACTTCTCACGGTCCAGGAGGAAGTTGTGGTAGATGGTGGCCAGACGTGTGTAGATCTTCAGCTGGGCCTTCTTGTTGCCCAGGTCCACGGCAGCCGCCAGCGCCAGCTGGTAGTACCCGGCCGCATCGAATGGGTCCTGAGGGGAGATGTCGAGGTCAACCTGGATTCCATGCCTAACTTGACCCGTGGCGGGGCATGAGGGGCACAGAGCCCATGTCCCCAGGGCCAGGTGGGCCTGGAATCAGGGCGTTTCAGGCAGCCCCCCAGGTGTCCCCGTGTTCTGGACCCCGCTGGAGGCTCCCTTCCCACCCTGACTCCTCCTGGAAGCCTCCCCGGCTATCCCTCTATCCCGGGCCACCCGGCCTCTGCCCAGCCCCTCGCCGTTGGCACTGGCTGCTTGCCCTTGGGCTGGGCTTGGGTCTGACCCATTCCCCACTGCAGCCGGGACACAGTGCTGTTGGGGGAGTATGTGAGTGACCCAGCCTCTCTCCAGCCTTGTCCACTCTGATGCCACCATTTCTGGGCCCTTCCACCAGCCAGCCCCAGGGCAAATCACCTCACAGGCATCAAATCTGAGAATCTTCCCTGAAACGTGGATGGTTTGTGACTCCCCCGGACATCCACTACCATCTCAAATGCATCTTTGCCTCAAACCCACCAGCCCCAGGTCAGGACACGCCCACCCCCCACTCCTACCTTCCACCTGACCAGGCCCCTGAGGTCACCACGCTGAGGTCACCAAGGGACCCCTCTAAGACCCATACCTGACCCCTACCCTCCCTTCCCTCCTTACCGTCTCAAGATGACTCCCCAGGGCCCAGAACAAAGTCCGAGATTCATCAGCCCTTTTCCCCCTGAACGGAGCAAGGGCCCAAGAAGAGAATAAACCAGTCGTGGGGCAGTGCAGTGGACACTCCCCCATCCCCTGCTGAGCATCACTGTGCCAGGGCTCGTGGCTGATCCTGCCGCACCCCTGCTCCCAGTCCTGGGGATCCGGGGTGGTCAGTGACTATACAGGGTGGCCTGTGGGAGCCCCGGGAGGCACCCGCCTCAGCCTGGGGCGGTATGGGAGGGCTTCCTGGAGGAGGGGGCATCCCAACTAAACAGGAAGGAGCCAGCCAAAGCGTGCTCTGCTGAGTGTGTGCGCGCGTGCCCCTGTGTTCCCACATGTGTGCAACAGTGAGTGAGTGGCAGGCCCAGCTGGGGCCCACCCCAAACCCGTCCTACTCCAAGCCTGGCTCTTTCCATTCTGACACACACATGTGGACTGAAGATGGCCCCATTTTATTAATAGTGACAGTCAGCAAAGAAACCTATGGCACCTGCCTTCTGGGTGGCATTCCACGCCGTCTGGGGTAGGAAGGAGACAGAGGCCACAAGAGGGTCTGCTCGCTCGGGACACGAGGAGGGTGTGAAGTTGGAAAGACAATGGGCCCCGACACAGGCTGAGATGATAGTGCAGTTCAGTGAGGCCGTGGGTGGGACGCGCCCTGGGGAGGAAGGAGGGAGCTCCCTGCCCCTTGAGCCCAGTCTCACTCGCCCCTGGACCTCGGGCTCTCAGCAGCGCCTCAGCCCCTTCCTTCCTCCCGGGTGGATGAGTGGCGGGTGTGACCATGGAGAGATAAAGGCCCCTTCTCCCAGGCCCTGTCCCCAGCAAGTGAGTGAAGGTCCCTCTGGGTGGCCTGATGCCCAGCAACTGGGGGTGGGGGTCGCTGCCTGGCTCGGATTTAGCAGCTGGCCGCAGGGACCACTTCTGACCACCAGGTGTCGCCAGTGCTCGGCCAGGGCCTCGGAGCAGCCCAGGCAGGGGTGGGGGTGCAGCAGGGTTGGGTATTCCAGGGCTGCCCCAGCTTCTCCTGCCATCAAAGGCCCCTATGAGCTCAGCCCCTGGACTGGGTGTCCCTGCCCCTAAGCCAACAGAGAGCACTGACACTGCAAGGACAATGCTGGGCTGGGGGGTGGGGCGGGAAGGGGGACGTTGCCTGGGCCGGGGGACACGTGGAGCAGCACCCCTGGATCCTCATCTGTAGGTGCTCAGCACGCCACCCCCTGCAGGGCTGGAAGCAGATGGAAAAGAAGTCCCAGCTAGCGTCCCTTGAGACAGACTTGAGGGGGTCCTCCCCCTGCCGCCCTGAGTGGGATCGTAACAGACCTGCTCCGCCCACCTGAGTAAAGTGAAGGTTGAAAGGTCTCAGGATTCCGGGAAAGAGCTGCTCAGCACAGGCCTGCGTCCTGGGCTGGCTCCCTGGAGGAGGTGCCAGGATTTGGGCTGGATCTTACAACATGGGTCCAAGGTGGGGATAATGCTGATCCCCTCAAATGTCCTCCCCCCCCACTTTTGTTAAATCCTACTTGACTGTCAAGACTCAGCTTTGGGCCAGGCACAGTGGCTCACGCCTGTAATCCTAGCATTCTGCGAGGCTGAGGCGGGAGGATAGCTCGAGGTCAGGAGTTCGAGGCCAGCCTGAGCAAGAGCGAGACCCCCCTGTCTCTACTAAAAAAATAGAAAGAAATTAGCTGGACAACTAAAAAAATATGTAGAAAAAATTAGCTGGGCATGGTGGCGCATGCCTGTAGTTCCAGCTACTCGGGAGGCTGAGGCAGGAGGATCACTTGAGCCCAGGAGTTTGAGGTTGCTGTGAGCTAGGATGACGCCACGGCACTCTAGCCAAGACAACAGAGTGAGACTCTGTCTCCAAAAAAAAAAAAAGATTCAGCTTTGGTGTCACCTCCTCTGGAGGTCTCCCTGACTACTATCCCTCTTCTTCACCCATAGCTGCCATTGTCTGTTTACATGTCAGCCTCCCCCGAGTTCCTGAGGGTGGGGCCTGGCCAACGTGAGAGCCCCGATACTGTCTGCTGGCCTCTGGGGGGCCAGTGGTCATTGCTAAGGAAGGCTCAACCCAGGCCTTTGGGGTCTGGGTGTAGATCCCACTGCAAGTGTCCCCTGCCCCCTCCCCACCCACCTTGAGGTCATAGAAGATGATGTCTCCGAGCACCAGGTACACTTTCACATAGTACAGGGTCTCCTCGTCGAACTCCAGTGGTGAGCTGCAGAGTGACAGCGCCTTGAGGTAGAAGTGCTCAGCCAGCTCGCCATGGCCCAGCCGGTGGTGCAGAGTGGCCAGCCGGTGGTAGGCCACGCGCTCGTTCAACCGGTCCCCTGGCGACACAGGCGGAGGGCAGGTGTGAGGGCACAGGCCCATCAGGAGATGCATGAGGACACTGGTGATGCCCTGCCCTATCTCCAGGCACACTCAGGCCATCACCTGGGCAGCCCTAGCCAGCCCCTGCACACCTCTGAGACTCACTTTTCCCACCTGTAAAGTGGGGCTAACAATGCCACCTGACTCATGGTTTGGCAAAGTCATGAGTTTGGACACACCAGCTCTGTGCCTGCATGCAGCCACCTGCACAGGGTGCCTTTGGTTACTGTTTTTGGTGAGGAGACCCCGAAAGGCATTCGGTCTGTGCACTCCAAGCACTAGGGCTCCAGTCAACTTGCAGAGGTGGCATTTGACCATTCCTGGGAGCACGAGCAGCAGAGCACCCTCCCAACCTTGGGAGTCACTGTATGTCTGAGCCCCAGGTCCTGCCCTGCACATGGGCAAGCTGGCTCAGGTCATCTCTGGTGTCCTCCCCTTCCAGGGCGGGAGCGGTGGAGTCTGCATTCAACGCATCCCAGCACTGCTGCACACCTTTGTGCCAGGACCTGGGGCACGAGGTGTGCCCTGGCCCATTCGGGGCTCGCTCTCTCTGGAGGAAGACAGACCACCCCAGTACAGCACAGTGAGGCGCCAGGACAGAGGGACGCCCAGGACTGAGGGCCGGGCTTCTAGAAAGGGGACTGGGATTTCATCAGCCAGAGAACAGCGGTGGTTGGCGAGGGCGGGGAAGGGACCAGCTCTCACGAAGGCACAGGTGGCCCAGCCTTGCACACTGGGGATCTGTGGGGCACCCAGAGTATATGGAATGAAGGGCATGTGGGGTGGCCCTCATGCTCAGCAAGGGGAAGAGGCTGAGGAAGCCAAAGAGCTGGGCATGGCCTTGCCATGCAGGGAGCTCTGCACTTCACAAGAGCCCTGGACTGTGCCCCCAGGGCTGAGCAGGGGAGCCCGCTGGTCAGATCTGCCGCTGACCTCAGCTGGCCTGGACGGGAGACCAGAAGAGCCTGGCAACCACTTCTGCTCCCGTCCTCCAGACCTGGAGGCGAGGGCCCTAAAGGGGCTGGGCCCTGGTTGGGGGGGCCCTGGTGGGTGGGGGCCCTGGTGGGATGGGGGCCCAGGGAGCATACCCAGTGTGATGCTGAGAGCCAGGGCTGTGTGTGCAAACTCCAGGCCCTCCTGGGGTGCCTCCAGTGCAGCAAGCAGTGCCACCAGCTTGTTGCATAGCCGCAGCTCTGCCTCCTGGTTGCCCGTGGTCACCGCCAGGGGCAGTGCCCGGTCCTGCCACAAAGGTGGGTGGGGTCAGGCCTCCTGCAGCACCCCCATGCCCAGTGCCTTCCTCAGAGCCCCAAGCATGTGCCAGAGCTTCCCACCCCCCAACTACCCACTAGGCCTAGACTTTCCCCTGAGAGAAAGGTCAGCTTAGACAGCCCAAGCTGGGGCTGGAGAGTGACCCTGGCCTGTCCAGCTACACCGTGCAGCCCCAGACCAGCCCCTCCTGTCCTGGGCCTGACTGAGAGGATCCGGTGCTCAGCTCCGCTCTAGAAATGCAGTGTTATCTGTGCCTGGGGCTGAGCCACCCCTGAGCTGTGGGGGCAGAGGAAGGGAGAAGCCATCCTCCCTGGGGGCACATGCAGACCCAGCCTCTTCCTGGGTCTCCCACTGACGTGCTGTGTGTCCTTTGACACATCTCTGTGCCTCTCTGAGCCTCAGTTTCTTCATCTGTGAGATGGGGACAGGATTTCCCGGCCAGGGTTGCTTGAGATCACGGGGTAGATGTGTGAGACCAAGGCTGTGTCTGGGCATCAAGTGCCACCCACTCCGCCCTGGTCAGGATGGGGTCAAGATCATGCCAGGTGAAACCACCGGGAAACTGAGCATGTGCATGGTCCTGCCTCCAGCTGTGCCTCTGTGCTCGGCACCCACCTGGGACCCACCCATATAGACCCATGGCAGTGGCTCACCCGGTAGAAGGACACAGCCTTCTCCCGCTCCCACGTCCCATTGAAGAAGATGTCTCCAGCTGCCTCGAACAGTTCCAGCCCCAGGTTGGGATCACCTGTGTACAGGGCTGCATTCTGTGCCACCTGCAAGGAGGTGGAAAGCTCTCGAGACCCACACCTAGGAGGCGGCCAGGCCCACCCATTTGGGAAGCGGCAGCCAGCCTCCTCTGTCCTCTCACACACCGCAGGAGTCCCTGTGCATTGGGGGCCTTCATCACCTGCTGGCATGAGGACAATAACTGTACACACCTGGGTGCCATGGGGCACCTGTGTGGCTGAAGCCCAGGGGCCCAGAAGGCGAGGCTGGTGAGAAGCCGGGACAGAGCTCAGCGCCACCCCAACCCGCCCACTACTCTAGGACCTCCATTCAGCTCTGGCGTCACTGGGGCTTCCACCATCCCCTCCCCGCCCTGGCCCCACTGCTTCCTTCTGAGCCCTTAGTGACATGTGACCTAGCCATGTCTGCCCACATCTCCCACCAGAAGGGTCAGCCTACAAGGATGGAGCCCGAGGTTTCGGGCTTCTCTGCCATATGCAGGGCCTCCCACAGTGCCTGGCATGTAGGAGGCGCTCAGCAAATACCCACTGAGCGAATGACTGGGCAGTCTGGCCCTGACCACAACCCAGCCAGACCCAACTGCTTGCCGATGCCTGGGGTTCTGCTGTCAGCACAGCCCTCCTCCAGCAGAAGTGCTCGCCCAGCCTCCCTGTCCCGAGGCTGCCAGAAGCCCACCCTATGGGCTCCTGTATCCCCATGTCCATGCCACAGCCCCGGCCCATGTCAGCATTGCTTCCTGATGGGCTCAGTGCCCTCCTCGCCATGAGCCCCTGACCCTAGGTACTCAGCCCCTGGCTCAGGCAGGTACACAGCAGGTGCTCGAAAACAAAAAGCTCATGAGGCGCGTGGGCCTCTCAATTTGTTCCAAGTCACGCTTGTCTGGGAAAGCATCTAAAACAGAGATTCTATGTAAATGCATTTTTTAAGGAGACATGCCACGCACTGCTGAAGCAAGTCCTTCTGTGTGTCTCCTGAGTGGGCGCATCATCTGCACACTTACTGAGCACGCACTGTGTGCACTCCCACGCCTCTGCCCCAGGGAGCTCAGATGGCTGTGGACATGCCAGCCCTGGAGGGGGCTGTGAGGGAGTTAGGGGGCAGGGAGGGGGAACGGCATACAGCAGGTGCTCAGCAGTGGCTTTGTCACGAGTGAACACACACTGGCCCTCCCTCCCGCCTCACCCCTGCACCTGGATGTACAGATCCACCAGCTCATTCTGCCGCAGGATGTAGTAGATCTTCCCTGCCTGCAGCCAGGCGTGCGCCTCCTTCTCCTTCTCCTGGAGGTCAATGAATATCCCCAGACTCCGCTTGGTGTAGTCCAGGGCGGATTTGTAGGCCCTGGAACCAGATAAGGGTGTCAGAACGAGAGCTCCCAGGCAGGCCAGCCTCAGGGGACCAGCCAGGGCTCTTCCTGCTGCACATCTGGTGACGGGTAGACCTGGAGTATCAGGATGGGAATGGGCCCACTGGTATGTGCAAATCCTGCCCTTCCCAGGCTTCTGGGAAAGCCGGGATGAACACACCTTGCACGGAAAAGATACAGTATCTTCTTCTGAGGGAAATGGGTGTCATGCCAGCCATGTGGCCAGGAGGAGCGTGCTACTGTCTCTCCCCCACCTCCCCAGACCAGCCTGTGTCTTCTCCGGATGCACCAGGAGCAATTAGCATGGAGCAGAGGTTCAGAGAGTATCCAGGCCGCTGCTTCTCAGATGTGCAAGTATATTAGAGGACATTCACATGTAGCTCGCTGGGCCCTGTGGGGCCCAAGAACATGCACTTCCAACAGGCTTCCCAGTGACAGGGCCAGGGACCACACTTTGAGAAGCATGGCTCTAGCACATAGGCCTCGGGACCGAGGCCAAGCCTGGAGCTGTCTCCCAAGTCCTTGTGGAGATGTGGCTCCTGCCCTGCTCTCTCCAGGGCGTGTCACTGCAGCATGGCTGGGGCCATCGTAACCCCACCAGGTCAGGACACTGTGAGCCACACGTGGGACATGGGACCCCGAAACTCTGCCTGGGGAAGCAGGTGAGACAACTGGCTCCACCTTCTATGGGCGAGGAGCCTCCAGGCACACATGGCCATTGTGGTCACGTCAGAGGGGACAGACAAAGGCCAGAGCACCCTAGCCCAGAGCTAGACCAGTGGGTGCAGATTCAGGGCGGGAAAGGACAGCTTACAAAAGCCACTGTGGCAGGACAAATGGCCTAGAAATGCATGTGCCATCTCTGTTGGGGATGAGACACCTGTCTGGGAGCTATTGCAAGCAGAGATGGGAGGGCACATCAACCATCAAGAGAGGCCAAGCCGGGACTTGAGTCCTGAGCAATGTTGGGATGACCCCAGGCCCACCCGAGGAGAGGGTCCGCTGGGGCCCTGTGCCCAGCTTCCCTGTGTGCCCCCAGCCCCTGCCGCAGAGCCGGCTCTCACCGCTCGGTGCCCAGGGACAAGTAGAGCTGGCTGATGGTCTCCAGGAGCTGTCCCTCCAGCACCTTGTTGGCCACCCTGCGGGCCAGCGTGAGCTGGAACTCGTGGTAGATGACGCACTGGGCCTCGCTGGGCATGACGGTGCTATAGAAGTGGCACAGCCGCTGGACGGCTTGCAGCTGGCCTGCGTGGGGGACGGAGAAAGAGGAGGTCGGCTTCATGGCCTCATGGCAGATGCTTGAGGGGTTTGAGGCCCCTGCTGCATGCCTGCCTCTCCCACTCTTCTGTGAGTCAGGGTCACTGCAGATAGGAAACTGAGCCTAGACAGCGAGGTGGCCTGCTCGAGGGCACGCAGACGACGAGAACGCCAAGATGAGCCCCGTGCATGGCACGTGGCAGGTGCTCAAGTGATGGCGCCCATGTTCTTCACAACCCCCAGGGCTGGGTGTCCTGGCCTGGCTTGGCCCTCACACCAGGAAACCTGTTTCTGCTTCATGAAGCACCTCCGGCCAGGACAGGGGCCACCTTCACACCAAGCTGATGAGGTCGGGTCACCGGCACCCCTGTCGCAGACGGACGGACACCCTGAGAGTCCAAGGCCGAATGTCGATCCTGACACCAGCCTGTGCTGGGAATGCCATTCAGACCCGGCTTCTGGCATTCCAAAGCCGACACCGCCTCCAAGAGGCCAGGTTCCACACTCACAGGCTTCCTGGCCTCTCCTACAAGCAGGGCTTCAGGCAGTGCAGAGCTGCTACTGCCAAAAATACTCCCGGGGTCAGGAAGAAAATAGGAGCCTTAACAATACCACAAACCGAGAAGACCCGACAGGCATCTATAAAACTCTCCGCCCAACAACAGCAGAATACATGGTCTTCCCAAGCACCCACAGAAGGTTCCCCAAGACAGACCACATGTCAGGCCACAAAACAAGTCCCAGTAAATGTAAAATGATTGAAATCATACAAAATATGTTCTTCAGCTACACTGGAATGAAACTAGACGTCAACAACAAAAGGAAATGTAGGAAATTCACAAATACGTGAAAATTATACTACACACTTCTAAACAACTAATGAATCAAAGAAGAGATGATAAAGGAAACTAGAAAATACTTTGATATGAATGAAAACCAAAGTTACGGGAGGCGGCTACAGCCGTGCTTAGAGGGAAATTTGTCACTGCAAATGCCTGCGTTGAAAGAAGAAAGAAAAATTTCAAATCAAAAATTTAAACCTCCACCTTAAGAGATTAGAAAAAGAAGAGTCAACAAACCCAAAGCAAGCAAAAGGAATAAATAATCAACATTAGAATGGAAATATTAAACAATAATATAGAAAATAGAAAATAAAGTCAATGAAACCAAAAGTAGGTTCTTTGAAAAGATTAACAAAATTGGCAAATCTTTCACCAGACTGACCAAGGAACAGACAGGATATCAATTACTAAAATTAGAATGAAAGAGGGAGCATTATTGCCTCTTTACAGAACTAAAAGAGTTGTAAGAGGACACCATGGGCAACTGTACACCAACAAATCAGATGACCTAGATGAAATGGCCAAATTCCTGGAAACACACAAACTCCCAGAGTGACTTGAAAATGGCTTGGAGTAAGCACCTGTTGGCCCTGGGGCACCTGCCAGCCCTCGGTCTCCTTGGCTGCTCAACATGGGAGAGAGGAAACATGGTCTCCTGGGTCCCTTGCCTGGCTTTTCCAAGTCTGAACCCCCAGCACCCTGGGGGTACCTCCTAGGAGAAGGTGCCACTGGCTATTAAGGCCGTGACTTGCCCGAGGCCACAGGGGGAGTCTGTGGCACTTGGTTCCTCCCGAAGGTTCCAAGGGCACCTTTGCAGCCAGAGGCCACCCCCCTGTCAAGGCCCCACCTGTTGGGGAAGGTCGGGATTTAGACCCTCCCTTCCCGCCGTGGGCAGACACATACATCCGGGGATCCTTCACACAGTCATTTCCTAAAGCTCTGTTCCTTCAAGGGCCAGGAGTGTGTGCCAGGCCTGGCTTGAAAATGGGCAGATTTGGCACATCCCCTGGGGCTCTGGGCCAGACAACAGAGGCATCTCTGGGCAGTCTCATTGTGCCATGACGAAGGCCTGGTGCCATAGGGCAGGGGGTGGGACTCCTGTCCCCATTCCCTCAACCCCTTCCTCTGCCCGTCCCCTGCTGCCTGGATTGCTATCCATTCACTGCATGCAGCCAGACTGAGTGTGCTATAGCACTCAGTGGCTCCCCAGTGCTCTCAGGGACCCCTAGGCCAACAGAGGTTGTCCCCATCCAGCCCGCGCCCCCTCTGCCAACTCTGCCTCTCCCTGCACGGGCCTGCGCAGGGGCTGCACTGCCAGCCCCTCGCCCCCACCCTCTTGCTGGGCTGCACCTTCAACCCTCCGGTCCCAGGCTAAAGAGACGCCCCTAACCCACAAGTTGGGGCCAGGAGCTGCCCTGCTATCACACCAATCACCCACTTTTGTGGCTTTTCTGGCTTGGACGTCAGTTTCCCACACCTGCGTTGCCTCCCCTCCCGTGAGAACCACACAAGTCTCATTTGTGGGTGGAATATGGGGTGCTTCCTGCACAACAAGAGGCTTTTGCATAAACTTGAACTGCTCTGTGGCCTGGGGTAACCAGCCACCTTAGCGTGCTCTGTGAAGTGGGGATGTGTCGGGGAGGGGCAGTGCAGCCCTGTGTGCCGGGCTGTCGGGCTGTCAGAGAGCCCGAGGAGATAACACAAGTGCAAGCACCTGGCGTTCGAGGCCGGGCTCACAGAGGGCCTGGGGCTGCTCTCAGCTTGGGGGAGCCTGGAGCACCAGGGTATGTCTGGGGGGACCCACCATCCCATTAGCCGGACTTTGAGGATTCCCACGATGGGGGACTTTCAGAGCTCAAACCAGAACAGTCCCCAGGCAAACCACCGTGCTCCCCATGTGGGAACAGTCTTCCTCAAGGGCGCGTGCAACATCTGCTGGTTTCACCTACTCAGCATTCTCTACATCGGAAAAACCACCATTCACCTCTGAATCACACGCCCCAGGTGTGCTCTGAGCCCCGATGCAGACCCTGCAGACCCCAGGGAGGTGTAGAAGAGATAACTGGGCAGCACCTACTCTCTAGGTGGTCCGTCTCCACGGCGACCAGAAAGGCCCACTCGTAGTAGCACTTGCCCTGCTGGGTGAGGGCCCGGCGGGTGCAGAGGTGGCCCAGCTGCAAGAGCACCTGGGTGAAGTCCCGGCCACACTCCCTGCTGGGCAGCCTGGAGAAGAGCCGGACGGCCTCCAGGAAGTAGTGCTGGGCCAGGCTGCTGGCACCCGTGTGCAGACACAGCGCCCCGAAGTTGGCCAGCACCACCGCCTGGTTCCACAGCTGGCCCAGGCCCCTGGCCACGCGCAGGGCACGGTAGTAGCCCTCAGCCGCCTTCCGGGTCCTGCCGGTCCTCTTCAGGGCCATAGCTGCCATGTTGGCAATCACGCCCTCCTGGTCCACACTGGCCACTGCCGCATCCAGGACGGACTCCAGGATGTCCAGGGCCACCTGGCTCTGCCCATGAAGCACGTACAGCCAGGCAAGGGCCACCAGGTGGTCCACAACAGGGTGGACTCCGGCCACCACATCTGCTTCCACTGCCTGCATCATGAAGACGATGGCCGGCCCGTGCTGCCCGTGGTGGCTGTGTAGCTGGGCCAGGCTGGCGTAGAGGGGGCCGCGCAGTGCACACCCCGCACCCGAGGCCAGGGAGGCCAGTGCCTGCCTGAGGTAGTGGGCCGTCTGGGAGGGTAGGCTGTGGGCCGCCTGCCTCTGGCCGTGGAGCCGGGGGGCATTCCGGAGCACCAGTTCCATGCTCCTCAGCGAGCTGGCCAGTGAGCACTGTGTCTGCAGCGAGGCCACCTTGACGCAGCTCAGGGCCAGGTGGGGCAGGCACTTCCGGCTATAGACGTCCGCCAGGAGCAGGTAGCAGTCCGAGGGCCACGAGGCCTCCCGGGCCCCCAAGTCCTTGTGCAGAAGCAGCAGTCTCTCCAGGAAGGGCAGGGCCTCCTCGGGCTGCTTGAGATGGATGTGGTGCCTGGCCAGCAGGAAGCAGGCCCGGGCCTCGGCCTGTAGGCTCCGGCCACCCACGGCCCGCCGCAGCGCGTACTTGAGGAGCTCCGCCTCTGCCTCAGCGCTTCTGATGTGGCCGGGCGTCCCCAAGAGCAGGGCGGCGGCTTTGGGCACCGCCTGTGCACTCTTCTCCTTGTTCTTCTGCTTCAGGTAAACGGTGGCCAGGTTGGTGTACACGGCCACCACCAGGAAGAGGTCCCCGAAGCTGCCCCCCAGGGCCCCCAGGGCTTCCTCGAAGTATACCCGGGCCTGGGACAGCTTGAGCCTCCTGGCGCACAGCCGGCCCAGGAGGAAGCAGAGCCTGGCCAGGGCCATGGGCAGGCCAGCTTTCTTGGCTGCTGCCCGGGCCTGCGCCAGGCGCACAGCCAGCTCCTCCTCGTCGGTGAAGCGGCAGAACACACTGCTCAGCCATGGCAGTGAAGCGTCATACAGGCCACGGAAGCAGGCCTTGTACCCAGGGGCATTCAGGACCAGCAGCAGTGGGCCCAGGGCCTCTGGGTTGGCCCAGTCGTCCTCGGCGTCCAGGTGGAAGGAGGGCTCCTTTGTGTCTGGCGAGTTCACACCACTGGACACTGCAGGGAGACCCCAGGACGCTGGCTCCTCGGGGCAGTCCGGACAGGTCTTGCATTGTTCTAGAATATTCTTCACCTTCTGCAGGGTCCCGTGAGGCTCCGGGTTCAGGCAACGTGGAGGCATTTCTGCAAGTCACAAAAAACACTCAGATGGGTGAGAGTCTGGACTTGAGTCCTGGTTCCCCTTCCCCAGCCTCTGTCCCTGGTGCAGCACATTCCAGATGACACCTCCCCACTGGCTCCCAGCGAGCGCCGGAGAATTGTGTGAACTGTCAAGCCAGGGCCTAGGACAGAGTGGGAACTCAGTAATTACGATTGCAGGGAGCGTACGGACCTGTTGGGCCGACTCTCTTACCAAGTAACCTGCCTTTCCTATCCTTTGCCTTTTTGACAGCATAGTCTTAGGAGACCTCCTGTGCCATAGCTCAGTGATCACTTGGAGATCCCTTTCCCTCTTACAGAGAATCAAAGCCACCTAGCCGGCCCCATCCACATTCAGTGCTACGACTGCAACTGGATGATTTTGTCAGCATTTTGGGCCTCCGATCCGGTAGAGGAATCCAAGAAATCAGCCAATCAGCGATTGATCAGCACGAGCTCCAAGGCTGCCCTACAAGACTGACAGAGCCAGTCATAGTGGAGGGCAGGGTGTTGTGTCTTTCTGCCCAGTTCCGTCATGGGGAAAATGACTGTTTCCAACAGGAAAGGTTGGGGCGGCTCCCAGAACCCGGGGCTCCACCTTCACAGGTGTTTGAGAATCTGAGGCCTATGATTCCTGAAGAGTTAACACAGGACAGGCTGCCCACCCTTCCCTGGCACAACTGCTGGCTTTGGCGGATGCAGTAGCCAGAGCCAGGTCTCAGGAGGTGAGCAAACAAGCTACATTTCCTGTTGGAAAAACATGGGATTAAAGGGGAATTCATTGGAAAGAAAAGAATCAGAACTTAAACAGACTCTTCTGTTTTGAGTTCGCATATAAAAAATATTTTCAAACAAACTGTCCCCTTGTTAGTCTTGCAGACTCAGGTCTTTATAAGCTTTGGAATAAGAAAAAAATTAAATATGGTTCAGCAGCAAATGTCTGACCTGACCATCTCCTGTGCCCCACGGAGGCACCGTCCCAGCCTCCCAGCAGTGGGAGACCCCGCGGCCTTTGCTGCAGGGACATTGGCAGCGTTGGAACTGTCCCTGTCCCTGGAAGGCAAATGGGGCCTGGCCTCCCAGCCTCCCCTCCCGCCACACCCCAGCACGACCCAGGGGATTTCCAAGGCCCCTGGGTGTCCACACCCCAGGCTCACCCCCATGTGGACCCTGTGTGAGGGAAGAGTAGGGCTGTGAAAGGGCGACAGGCAGGGGGAGGGTCTCCCCGAACCAGCCCCGCAGCAAGGAGCAGACCCTTGAGGGACCTCAGTTGAGGGAGAGGCATCCTCTCTAACCTGAGGCTCCGAATTCAGCCACCCTCTAGGGCAGCGTAGACTCGACTCTCTGAGGCAGAGCCGGGACAAGTGTCAGCTCCTGGAGGTCACCAGAAAGGAAGCCACAGGCATGTGTGGGCTCGGAAGAGGGAGAAATACCCCACCTCGGTTGGGGAACCAGTGGGGTCCAGCACGTTCGTTGGAAGAGGCGTGGCCCCCAAGGTCTCTACTGCCTCACTGGGGGTCAGGGGAAGCATTGGGCCCACCTCAGGCAACCTCCCTCAGGCCCCAGCCTGCACCCACGGGAGTGATGGCCACACCCAACACCAAGTGGGCCCAGCTCTGCTGCCTCCGCCTGGTGTTACCCCCAAGGCCAGACTGTGACCAGAGGAACTCCAGCTGCACGGGCAGGACCTACCTTGTCCTTCCAGCTGCTCAAGCTCGGTTTCTTCTAATCTGTCTGCAAAGGGAGAGCAGAGAGGCAATCACCACCTCCAGCCAGCACACTCTGGGCCCTGAGCCATGTCCGGCTAGGATGGCGACACCAGGATAGGAACATTCCTGACACCAACACTCCTGAGGGAGAGGCATGGCTCAGGGTGCCCTTGGTCAGTGGGCTGGAGAATCCCTGTCTTCCAGGGTCTCCAGGCCAGGACACAGCTGTCTGCCCCCACCCCTGCCTACCCCCACAGAGACGCCATCCCCCCGTCCTCTGGGACAGAGGATGCACCCCTCACAGAGGAGCACCCCTGGACTTCCGTTGCCTCCATCAGGGAGTGGGGCACAGGGGACGGCTCAGCTCCGAGTCTGACAGAGCTGGGCTTGACGCTGCTCCACCGCGGATCCCCACCCTCCTCGTCACAGGCAGGCACCTCCCTAGCCTCAGAGCAGGCTGACGCTAACTGCTGGGTTTCCATAGAAAGCGAATGAGAAAAAGAGCTGTAAAAAGATGTATAAAGCACAAAGTGCCATGAACTATGATCACAGGCACACGGCCCTGGGACCCCACGCAGAATCAGGCACGCAGAGGCCGAGATGCCCCCACCATGCCACGTCCCCTAATAAAGGGTCCAACCCTGCCTCCTAAGAAAGACAGGAGATGGTAATCATGTTGGTTCGAGTCTTCATATGTTAAGGTCGAGTTCAAGTTTGTCCATTTAGGAAGAGAAATTGGTTTGTGGGGTCTAAAAAGTTTAAATCTATCATCAGTGGGAAAAAAGATCTTGCAATGCATGTCATTGAGCAGGCACAGAAAAAGTATGTATAGAAATGTGTGTTTATATGTGTGTATGTATACATATATGTGTGTATGTGCGTGCATTTGGATGTGTGTGTGCATATATGCACACCTGTGTGGGTGTTCGTGCATATACGTAGGCACGTGGGTGAGTGTGTACGTCCACGTGTGTCTGTATGTACATGTATACCTGTGACTGCGCGTGTCTCTGTGTGTACATAAATGCACATGGGTGGGTGTGTATGCACGCTTGTGTTTTTCTCCTCCCTGTAGGACAAAGCAATGAACCCACGGTTGTGTGCCCACCGCCTATAGCGGCTGACAGGCAGGTTCGTCCAAGTGCCACGACCCCAGGCATGTTTCTCCTGCTTGTTGTTGATGACGCACCACCTCTGTCCAGGCTTTGCTCTGCAGCCCGCAGAGACTCCTTTCACACACAGAGGGCTGAAGGTAAGACAGAAATAGCCTTGTCTTTAGAGGCTGCAGCGCTGGGCTCCCACCCGACACCCAGCCGCCAGGTGACCCAGGCAAACCACACAGGAGAAAGGCCAGAGGCCTTTGGAGCAAAGCACGGGCGCAAGGGCTGGCCCTGGGCAGGAGCCCCACAGTGCTGGCCAAGTTAGAATCAGGCCCTGTGCTTTCCCCTGCGCCCGCGGAGGCCTGAGGCTGTCCGTGTGTCTCAGGCTGGCACTTGGGGCCCGTCCTTGGGCAGCAGGAGCCTCAGGGCCACATCCCCAGGCCCCACTCCCTGTGTCTGGCTTATCTGCAGCCCCACGTGCCCCGAAGGCAGTGACAGGACCTGTCTGTTCACCTGCAGTGCCCAGGGTGGCAGTCGCCATTTGTCAGTGGATGAAGGCAGCAAAGCTGTCTGGAAGGGAAGGGAGAAGCAGCCGCCCTGGCCGCATGGCCCACACGTACCCAGGCTGTACACGGTGCAGACATCCGCGGCCGACATTCTCCTCAGTAACTGCCTGGCGTCCTCTTCAGAAAAGCGGCCCTCGTTGCTGAAGAATGACCTTTCTTCCTCACTGAGAAAGATCACATTTTCCAATCTGGAAAAAATAAAGTGCTCTACTTAAAATAACGTATTTCCAAAGTAAACATTTCACAAGAGGACCCATTTTCACTCCCTAATTTGGCAGTCCTGGAACACTGCTCTCTGCCCGGCAGTGAGGACCACAAGATAAAAAACAAAACAGATCCTGCCCTCCAGGAAATTGTCTGGCCAGGGACAGATGCCCAGGAGCAGGAAAGGCTGTGATGGGTCATGGCATCCTGGAAAGGTGAGCTCCTAGGCAGCCTTCAAAGCCCCATCTCAAATGTTCCCTCCCCCATGAAGCTGGCTGTGGAGGCTACAGGCAGAACCAACTGCTCCGCACTGTAAGCTCCCGCTGCTCCTCATACCACCTCTGCAGGGGCATCCCACAGTGCTCGGCACAACCACAGCACACTGCGTGTCCCCGAGCCAGGGAGAGGACAACAGGAAGGAACAGAGGGAGAGGGAGAGGGGAAGAGGCAATTTTTCCTTATAGGACTAAATTACCAGAATAATATGAAACTTCAAAATACGCCGATTGAGAAATTTTTTTAAGTCTTAGAGTAGCTTGCAGGACATTTTATGAAATAACAGGCCTATATTCTTCAAAAATGTCAGACAAAGAAATAGTGAAAAGCTGTTTCAAATTAAGGAGACAGGACAACTGAATGTAACTCAGAGTCTGGAATTATCTTTGGCTATAAAGGGAATTATAGTTGTATATATACAACTGGCAACATCTGGATAAGGTCTGTACATAACTGCATGGTATCAATGTTAATTTCCTGATTTTGACAGCTGTACTGTGGCTATGTAAGCAGATGTCCTGGTTTTAGAAACCACGTGCTGCATTATTTAGGGGTAAAGGAACGTCATGTTTGCAACTTACTCTCAAAGGGTTTAGAAAAAAAATAGAAGTAAAAGAAAAAAGAATAAAGCAAATGTTGTCATGTGTTAACATTTGTGCAATCTGGGTGACAGGATATGGAAATTTTATACTCTTCTTTCAATTTCCTTGTAAGTCTGCAAGTATGTCGAAATAAAGTAAAAGAGAAAAAGAAGAGTCCCCAGCTTGTTCACTAAACAAATGGATGAAAATCCAGGGTCTGCAACAAGAAGGATATTCAGTAAACATCCGTTGACTGAATGAGGGAAGTGGTTAGGATTTCTCTGGCTGTAGACAGCACCAGTAGCACCCGGCCCTGTCATCCTTCTGGGTTAAGGGGAGGGAATGGACTAACTCATTCCCCTAGCTCTTCTCTGACCCACGGCAAGTTCAGTACACGTCCAGTGCACACAGCCTCCAGCAGTCTCTTGAGAAACTGTAGCCTCCTTGGAGACTGTGGGAATAAGCCAGACAAAGCGTCCCCAAAGAGTGTTCCATGGAACACCAACTTGGCGAAAAGCAAATAGGGTTGTGTGAGAAGAGGATTCTGGGAGTCAAGTAACTGTGGGAAACGCATTTTAACAGGAAAAGACACCTTGCTTGTGTTGGGAATCCCTGGAGAGCGCCAACAAGGGGACATGGGCAGAGCATGCAGTGTGTGACGGAGCCCGGGGAGGAACACACTTTGGGAGGCGCTGGTCTAGCACTGCTGTCAGCGTGCTGGCCTGGCCAGCTCCTACCTGCTTCTGAGGCACAGGTGCAAGAGCTACCAAGGCACACAGATACTGTAAACTTAGGGGACAAAACGAGACGTTTGGCTAGACAAGGCATGATACCAAACAGCCTCCGAGATTTGGGCTGAGAGGCGTTGGGCTGTCGCAGCACCAAACACAGAACAGGGCCACTGAAGACGAGCATCTGGTGGGTGGGAAGTGAGGCACACAGAGGGGGACAGGACCAGAGTCACAAGACCCAGTAAAGGGCCCTTCCGATATACCCACGTTCTCTGGGCTTCTTGACTGACGTCTTGACAAGGCCAAGTCCAGGGGAACGGAACTCTGTCAAAGGAGGGGCACAGCTGTGCTTGCCGACCACTCTCCAAAGACTCCCCTACTGCTGCCCAGGGATGGGTAGCAGGGACACGGAGGTGGCCAGAGAGCCCTCCCCTTGGCATTCCTCAGTGGTGTCAGGCAAGTCTTGGGTGGAGTGGGGGACAGCTCACACAGGGACAGGTGTATAGCCAGGAGTGTCCCTGGGGATTACCCATTACAGGTGTGACTGGTGGCTGGCGAGAGCCCCCAGGAACACCAGAAGGTCAGGATGGAAGGGGCACCTGGGCAGGCTGCAATGTCAACCCAGACTGTCTCAGAAGGGACAAGCCAACCTGCGCAGCAGACTCAGGGCGAGCTGGTGGTGAGTGGCAGCCTTTGAAATTGGGGTCACCAGGGCCTGGGCCGTGGGGAGCCTTGAAGGCTGGGTCCAGCAGCTTTGAAGGGCTTCGTGGAGGAGGGTAGCTGGTGTAGGGGGTTGAATAGTGTCCTCACAATTCACGTCTCCCAGAACCTCGGAAGGTAGCCTTTTGGAAATAGGATCTTTGCAGATGTAATTAGTCTGGTTAAGACGAGGTTGGACCAGTGCCCTCGTAAGAAGAGAAAAATGAGTCACAGACACACAGACACACAAAGGAAGACAGCCACGTGGAAGGGGAGGCAGAGTGGATCGATGCGGCCACGAGCCAAGGGATGCCTGGAGCTGCTAGGAGGAACAGGGAGGAGGGCCCACCTGGAACCGACAGAGGCAGGGTGGCCCTGCTGGCACTGATTTCAGACTTCTGGCCTCCAGAGCTGCGAAGCAGTACATCTCTGTCACTATAAGCCCCCAGCGTGTGGTGCTGAGTGACAGCATCCACAGGAGACGAATACACGTGGGCAAGTGTGTGCCTCAGAGAATGACCTCCTGGCAGCATTCTGGGGGAAGGCACTGGGGACAAGCAAGAAGCAGCTGGAGCTCAGCCCAACCTGGGCCTCGGGAAGGGACAAGGAGTCGCCCAGGACACATCAGCCTTATTGCACGGGAAGCTGGGTGGAAGGTGCAGGGTCCCTGCAGGAGCGGTGGGGGTGGGCTCGGGAAGGGGGCGGGGCCCCGGCCACTCACTCTGACGCCGGGCCCTGCGCGCTGATGAGATGAGTCCGCACAAACCCGACCTGGCCTGAGGCCACATGTCGGCCCACGCACCAGGGCAGGCCAGGCACCTGGGCTCCGAGGAGCTCAATGAGGTCACCACCTTGGAAGGTCATCTCTTCAGGCCCCAAGCCCTGGCAGTCAGCCACCGCCGAGGCCAGGCCCACAGCTGCAGAAAGGAGGCCGCACGGTCAGTGCAGGGGAGACCTGGGTAGGGGCCAGGGTGGGCAGATGGGGCTGCCCTCAGACACCCTGGACACATGGGGAAGTCATCTTTTGCCTGTTAGGAGCTGAAGCTTGCTTCCCGCACACGAGAGGCTAGACGCCTAGCGGTCCTCAGAGAGGGTGCCTTTGTCCCTGCACGGCAACAGTCGCAAGTCCCGCCTGTTCCCCACCTCCCCGCCCCCAGGGCTTCCGATCCATTTCCCGGGTGCACGAGGCCGTCCCAACTGGCAGCTTGGCGCAGAGCAAGAAGCTGGATGGGCGTCCAAGCCGAAGGGCTTCTGGCAGTGCCAGCTTCTCTCAAAGAGGACCCGTGACAGGACAAGCCCGGGCCTCAGGGTCCTGCCTTAGTGCAGGTGGCAAATCCAGCCAGCACCCAGCCCACTATGGCCCGGGCCTCCAAGGTGTTTAATGTGGTGCCTGGAAGAGAGAAGAGCCCCCAGACCGTCCCGTCGGATTGTCTGCGAAGTTACACTCGGGAGCTCTCTGAGGACAGCGACAGGCCGCATGGCTGCCCTGCACACCATGTGAGTGTGGGTCAGCCCGCGGACAGGGCTGGGCTCCGGCACCACCTCACAGACTGGAGAGATTCAGGACAAGCACAGAAACCTCCAAAATGTTGGTGCCACCCCCTCATCACCTGCCTCCCCCAGGGGAAGAGAGGCCGGTGGAAGCACTCACCCATCAGCGGGGTGTCGGGTGTCGCTGCTTCACCGACGGAGTCATCGATGGGGTCCCAGTGGAGCCTGAGAGCCCACCTGGAGCCGGGAGAGGGAGGTCTTTGCTGTGGGATTTCAGATTTGGGGCAGATACATTCTGTGCAGAGACGGGACAAGTCAGCTGTCCCCCAGCAGCCTAGGTTCACCCCACTCCTCCCCCAACACACACGCAAACCTGCCCAGGTTCATGGCCTCCAGGGAGCCCCATACCCCCCCGCCTAGATGCCTCATCTTGGGGGACCCCACCACCCCTGTTAACTAGGAGCCCTGCATACCCCCCAAACATCTGCCCCGTTGCTCCCCTCAAGGCAGCTGAGTACAACAAGGGGTGAGGGGGGACCCCAGCCTGGGGATCTGGAGACCTGGATTCAAATCCTGGCTCTACTGTGACCTTGCTGTGTGACCTGGACAAATTGCTCCTCTCTCTGGGCCTTAGTTCCTTTGGTTAGAAAAAAAGGAAGCTGGACTAGATGATTGACAGTCCCTCCTTCCCAGGTGGCATACAACATGCTCTGTGCCCCTGTGGGGACACTGCTGGCCACAGCACACAGGGAGGGTTCCTGGGAGAAACTCCTCCTGGGTCCCAGTAACGGAGAAGCTGAGCCACAGCCTGTTACCTCACAGACCCTGCAAATCAGGAGACTGAGTTTCTCTTTTTGCTTTGGCTGCCAGGAAGCTCCAAGCCAAGTTTATGCCCCACATTCTGCAAATGAACAGGAACTTACATGTCACCTGTCCTCACATCCCTTGGCTCTACCTGCCTTTGGTTTGGTTTGTGCAGGTTTCTGTATGCCTCCCCAATGCGGGTACGCATGGATGCAGCCCTTTCAAAAACTTTTCAGAACAAGTCTGGCAAGAGCTCCATGCCACATACTCCTATGCCGTCTAACCCCAGGATGGCTCTGCCAGGTAGATGTCATTGCCCCGTCCTGCAGGTGGCAGGCCTGAGGCCCAGAGAGCTGGACTGACTCCCCAAGACCACACAGCTGGACATCAGCAGCATGGGCCACAGCCAGGTCTGTTTGGGGCTCACACCCTTCTCTGTTGCCCCCCTTGGCCTATGGGCAGACCAGAGCCTGGGAGTCTCCCCATGGCCCAACCACACACAGAGCTGGTAGGAAGCAGAGCAGCAACGGTTGGTACCTACTGATGAAACGGGATCAGAGGTTCCAGGGTGGCTGCTGCCACCTCCGCGCAGGACATGCCGGGGCTCGCCAAGAGGCCTGCTTCTGGGGCCACCTCTCCCTGGGGACCCCCCGAAGCCCGCCTGAGGGGCTGGGGGCCCCTCCCTGTACCCCCAGGGCCAGTCGTCACTCTCACGTGGTGGTCAGGACACAGGACAAAGAAGGGCCCTTCAAAGGGACGGAGGAGGTCATTCAGGGTGGCCTGCCCAGGGGCAGCGATAGCTCTGCCAGGCAGGACCCCACCCCCCCAGCCAGGACACACAAGAGGAGTCGCCCTGCATGAGTCCCTCACCCCCAATTTCTACATCCACAGAAATGCAAAGGGACCTAGACTGGGGGGCTATGACCTGGGCGGGGTCCTGGCTCTGCCCTGACATGCTGTGTGAGGCTGGCTTAGCCTCAGCTTCCGTCTCTGGGGCTCAGTTTCCCTATCTGTGCTGTGAGGGGCCAGATGTGTGATTTCCAGGGCCCTTCCTCTCGGACTGCCACCACCGAGTCCAGCTGCAGCTGGGTGGCCCCTTCCTTTCTGTGGCCGGGTAGGAACACGGCTCTGTGTTCCGTGCCCCGCAGACTGGGGTCAGCTGAGGCGCCAAAGCCACAGCCAAGTCAGGAACACGGGCTGGGGGCTGGTGCAAGGCAGAACGTCTCTTCTGCTGTTTCCTAGGCGCTTGTATGTCTTTGGGGGCGGACCAGGGTCTCTCAGTAACCAGGGCACCTGACTGTCAGGACCTAGTCAAGGACGCTGTCACCCCACATGGCGCTCACCTTCTTGCACGAGGAGGCTCTCGTGGGTCAGCTTCAAGGCATCCTCGTCCACGTAGACTCGGATGGCCGTCTCCTCCTCCTCGCCGGGCGAGAGCAGCCAGAAGGCCTGGTCCACGAGCAGGTTTTCTAGGCAGTGATGCGTGAAGCCTGGAAGGCCAGGCCCATTCACCATCAGGCTCAGAGAGGCAGGGAAGCCTGTGTGGCCCCGGTGTTGGCTGAGCCCTGCACTGACCCGGCCCAGGGAGACCCTCGACCTTGCCCTTGGGGCACCCAAGGAGCTGGCCACGGCCCAGCGGTCCACAGTCTGACTCTCTGGGCTCGAGTGGTCTAGCCCAGCCCCACCCTCCCCTGCGGCCATGACCGTTATCAAGTTATGTGACCTCTCCGTGCCTCCGTATTCTCATCGGTACTGGCGAGACTGTGAGGTCGCAGGGCCCTGTGGGCCGGCAGTGAGCTGGATGGAAAACATGCCTGGAAGAGCCCGGCTGGCGTTATTAGCTAGCGTGGGCTGTGTCCGCTTCTGTCATGGGAAGCTTCGTCTCTGGGATGAGTGAGGCTTTGTCAACCACAGCCTGGCCAGCAGGCCTCGTGGCTCCCTCCGTTTTCAAGGCAAGGGTAGATAATGAGGGAAGCCTTCCTCTGCTCAATGAAGAGTGGACACCCAAGGCGGGGGGAGGGGTGCTGCCGCCTTCTGGATGGACACACTCCCCTGGGCCTGGCGCCGTGGGGGGAACTGCTCAAGGAGACCACATGGCAGAGGTGAGCACAGCCCTGCCCGGGGGCACGCGGGAAACTGTTGCTCCGATTCCACCCCAACTCCCTCGTCCTCAAATGGAGGCCGAGGTTCTCAAGGAGGTGCGGCGAGGCCCCGAGAATGCCTCCGAACACAACGGGATGTTTTAGGAAGAAGACACAGGGCCAAGTGTGCAACAGCAGGTTTCCTGGTCAGTACTGAGGCCATCAGAGCTGGCTTTCCTCAAGGTGTGGTGACGTGAAATCACACAGGACCGAGTGACAGAGTGTGCAAGAAACTCAGCCGAGAACATTCTCGCAACAGAGACCTGCATCCATCCACGGCCCCGCCCACCACAGCGTCCTCCTGGAGCAGAAGAACGCACCACTTTTCGTGTGTACTGGAGAGGCCCTTGGGAACCAACCTATTCTAAAGCACCGATGTGAAACATAAAGCGCGTGTTGTGCACCAGTGTCCTCCGAGGGGAGTCCCCATAATCGATCATGGGAGGGTCACCTCTTTACCAAGAGCATGGTAGGTGGAGAACTTCCAGATTTCCTCGAATGTCTTAAACATCACCACGATCCGATCCTGGTCACTGTGGATAGACAACAGCCTCGCCGATAATTCCTTAAGAGAAGGAAATAGGGATGAGACACCTTCCCCGGGGCCTCGGGGCATCTGCTGGTCAGAGGATAAGAGCCATGCAACCGAAACAGTTTGCAAAAGTGGCCCTGGCAGGGGGCGACACGGACAGAGTGGGTCCCTTTACAGCTCAAGTCAACTTCGCCCCTGCTCACAAGCCCGCCATTCCTTCCCAGAGCCTGAATGGGCTCCAAGCCCTGGCCCCACTCCCTCCACGCCTCCCTGACCACGCCTCCTGCCTTACTCCCTGCACATCAAAGGCCCCAGGCTCTCCTGTCACCTTCTCTCCTGCTCAGGCTGTGCTCTCAGTCCTGGGCCAACTGACCTCACCTCCCCGCACCACGGGATACATCCACTCAAGCTTCACTTCTAACTCTAGCGTCCCCTCTGCTCTGAGCTCTGTGAGTTGGTGGTGATGGGGCATTAAAAGCAGCACCAGCTGACACGGCAGCACGAACAAATGGTGACTCGAATGGCTGGGGCTACTGCAGTCATCTCCACTTGACAGATAAGAAATCAGGACCCATCTCTTAGCTGAGGTCTGACCCTCCATAAGTGGCTTGGCCAGGATTCACACCCAGAGCCGGCCCCCTTAACTGTCCCACCCTGCCTGCGTCACCACGGAGGCCCACGTGAGCAGTTACTCCGTGCCGGGCACCGTGCCAGGCACTGTGCCGGGTGCTTGGTGTGTGCTGGGCGCACAGTCCTCATGGACACGAAACTCCAAGCTTCCCTGGTATGTGGCCAAGGAATCTGGGCTCACAGAGCGCCAGGGCTGGCCCAGGCTGACCCCAAGTCAGTTCCCAAGCCCCAGGACCCCTGCCCAGCCCCACCCCCCACTGTCCTCTCCAATAAGATCAGCTCCATACTAGCCCTTCTGACTCCCTGTCAAAGGGGCTTTGAAAACCCTTGTAGGGAGGGGGGTACACGGAGAAAGGGACAATGCATTGTCCACCTGTGCTGGGGTCCAGGATAGCACACAGGGTGGGCCCCAGCGCCCCCCACGAGGCAAGCTGGTGTGGCGGCCTCCTCCCCAACCCCTCACCCTGGGGGCTAACGTCACAGCCCTCCCCTCCAAAGTCACTGTGCTCCCCAAGTGGCCCTCCTCTCTGCACCTTCCTCCTCTGCCTGTTCTCAGGCACCAGCCCCTGCACCTCCCTCACTCCGGCTCCTTAAAACACCCGTCCCCAACCACAGGGCCACTCACCCCCAGCACACGTGCCACCACCCGGCTGTCATTCTCCAGCAGGCGGAGCCGTCCCCGCAGGGCCTGCTGCAGGCGGGGGTCCTTCAGCCCACTCCTCTTCCGCACGGCCAGCAGCTGCAATGTCAGGTCTGGAAGGGGCAGACGGAGGTGGGCAGTCAGCCTGACCCAGCCGGGGTTCTGTGGGGCGCTGGCCTGGCTTGTTTAGCCTCCAACTCACAGACCTGCCCCCAAAGGCCTGGGCTGTGGGCTCATGGGGAGCCTGAGAGATGTGGCTTTAAATCTCAGCCATGTCCCACACCACCTGTGATGACCTGGGGCTGTCATTAGCCCCCAGCCTCAGTGTCCGCAGCTGTGAGTGCCCATCCTACAGAGAGATGGGGAGAAGGGACTCGTGTGCCCCCAGGGCAGGCCAGCACAGAGTGGCTGTTCTGCGTATGGTCCCCAGCTCCAGATGGTCACCACATCAGATACTCTGGACGCAGGGCCTGGGCACCTGTATTTAACAAGCCCCTCCCCCACCCCATGGTGATTTTAAGGAGGAATGTCTGGGGCCATGGGACATTCCAGAGATCTCCATTCTACCCTCCTAAACTGGCTTTTGCCCCTCTTCCCTATCTCTCAAAGGGCCCCCCACCCATGCTCAGACCACCCACCCGCCCCTCCATCACAGCACATCAGCCCACCAGCAAATCCCACTGGGTCTGCCCTCAACCCAATCCTGGCCCCCTTCATGGCCAGGCCCAGCAGGTCTGACCTGGGCAGCTGTCTGCGCCTGGCCCTCCCTATGGTCAGTCCTCTGGTCTATGCGGAGAACGAGGGCCCCTCACAATGTGCTCTGATTCGGCCCTGGCGGCGCCTTTCCCTCCCTGGTGGCACAGTCCAACAGAACTTTCTGCAGGGTTGGATGTGTGCTCTCTCTGTGCTATCCCGTGCAGTGGCCACCAGCCACATGGGGCCGCAGAGCTAGGGGCCACCTCCCCTTGTCACCATCTGAGGGTGTGATTTCCTGCCAGAATCTGTCCCGGGCACTACCCAGTCCTGGGCCTGGGAATGTGGGGAATAAGCCCCCTGCTGCCTGAGGCCAGGACGAGTGCAGACCTGGCAGTGGTGTCCCAGGGCTGCCAGCCCTCTACAGAGTGAGGAGAGGAAGGGGAGAAGGGGAAAGATGGGGCGGGGGTGGCAGGGGAGAGAGAGAGAGAGAGAGACTGGCTCCCCACTCCCTGGGTGAGCTGGGAGCACCTGCCTCAGGCCTTCTAGGGAGGACTCTGGAGCAAACACCCCAGCCCCGTGGGGAAGGGCCGGCACTAGGCAGCACGGATACTTCTGGGATCTGGAATCCACACCCCCATGAAGAAGCAGCGGCCCAGCATTTCACAACCGCTCACAGCTCCTACTCTGGTAGGAGGGCGGGTGCAGCAGTTTCCGACACAAAATAATCTGTCCCATTGCCCAGCACGAGATCCTGCTCATCCCAAGTGACCACAGGGAGCGCTGACCACATGAAAGGAAAGTCAGAGGACAGGCAGGGGTCTGAGCAAAGGCTAAAGGCCAACAAGGAACACCGGGGTCTCCCTTCCCCCACAGCTGGGGTTGGAGGGTCCCCAGGGTAAGGGACACCTGCACCTCCCGAGCCCGGAGCCTCCTGGCCCTATTTGTGTAGTGCTGCTCCCGCCACCCGCGCTCGGTGGAGATCCCACCCCTCCTTGGAGCCCCCCACAGCCCTGGAAGCCTGTACCTGGACACCTCTCCCGAGGGCCCTGTGCCCCACGCCACCCTCGTCCACCTCTTTCACATGCCCCCAGAGTATTGCCCACGGGGCCTCCAGGGACATGTTCCCCATTTGGGCAGATGGAAATGCAGAGTCCTGGGCTCTGCCTCAGCCCCGCTGAATCAGAACCTCTGGGCGCAGGGCTTGGGCATCTGCATTTATCAAGTCCCTCCCCCCCACCAGGATTTTAAGGTGGGCAGGCTGGGGCCACTTTGAGAAGCTCTGGGTTAGACATTCCCAGGTGCACAGGTTTGAACCTGAAATGCAGTGTGGGGTGGAGGACGTTTACCTGTGGGATATGCTCCCATCTGGCCGGGGGTGCTCCCAGCAGCAGGCGCAGGGGTCCCCGGGGGAGGAGCCGTGTCTGCAACACAGCAGGTTCCTACCATTAGGGGAGAGCGAGCAGCACTGGGCTCCTCCGCAGGGCCGAACACGCATGCCTTTCTGCAAGGAAAGAGGCGCATCTGTCCCACACAGGCCTTTGCCCTCTGCCTGGTTCTCCAGCTCTCAGGAGCCAGTGCTGCGGAGCTGTGCTTTCCCATGGGCTGCAGCAGACTCAGCGGCTCAGAACAACACGACGGATGACCTTGCCCTTCTGGAGTCAAATAGGTCTCACGGGACAAAATGAAGGTGTCGGGCAGGCCAGCTCCTCGCGGAGGCTCTGGGAAGACTCGGCGTCCTCTCCATGTCCAGCTTCAGCAGGTGCCGCGACCCTTGGCTTGTGGCCCCAGCTTCCGTCTTCAAAGCTGGCTCTGACTCCTGCTGTCTCCTCCAGAAGGCTGTGCCTCCCGCCTCCGGCTACCAAGGCCCCATGATTCAGACCATCCAGGGCCATCTCCCCAGCACGAGATCCTTAGCTTGATCCCATCTGCTGGATGAGGAGCACGTACAGGGCCAGTAATAGGGACCTGGACATCTTTGGGGGCCGGTGTTTTGCTGACCACAGACGGGCTCAGCCTCACCACCCGTGCGAGCAGGAGCCAGGACACCGACCCCACTGGCTGCTCAGCCTCGGCTGGTCAGCACCCTCTCTGGCCCCAGCTCCCACCCTCGCCGCCCTGCAGGGTCCGCATCTTGGCCTGGGCGCCCCGTCTCTGCCCTGCGCAGCTTCCTCACCCAGGCCCCAGGATCAAGGGAGAGGCGATTTGGAAAAGCCTGTGACTGCAGCGAGGGTGTTGAACTTCAGCGCGGCCAGACAGCTTCCTCGGAGTCCTGGGCCAGCTCAGCCACGTGGCCTTGGAGCTTGCATCACGATGGTGCTCGTTTCACACCACGTTTGCGGACCGTCTGCATATACCCTGGCCCGGGGAGTCGGGCTGCCCTGTGTGGTCAGGGCCCATTCCCGGGCCTCACTTGCTCTGTGTCCCTGGAATGAGCCCAGCAGCGGGGGCTCAGAAACATCTGTCAAATTCGAAGAAGTGAATGGCACTCAGATCTCGGCTTCTAAACGCCGTCCTCAGACTCAGGAGCTAGGGCTCCCTGGAGAAACAGCAGATCCTGGGGCTTGGGCAGGGAACGTGCAAGATGACATCCCAGAAAGTAAGGACATGCTCACAGAGTGAGGAAGACACCTCAAAAGCCCAAATCGGGGCGATTTGAGCAACAAAATAAAGAATGGCCTTTACAGTTCAGAGACTAAATTAAAGATGTATGAGCCGACCTAAAATAAACACGTGGATAATGGGAGAGGGACCCGCTCTTCCTTACCCTAGAACCAGCTAATGAACACAGAAGTGGTGACTTTTGGACAGTCACTGTCCAGTGGCCGTCCTAATAATTAATATTTCAGCCACAACCAGCCATGGATGACAACATGAGGCTTTATGAGTTTGATGAACAGGATATTCACATAATCTCAGCGCATCTTCCCATGAGCTCCTTTCCAGGGAAGAACAGTAACCTTAGGTGGCAAGAACTGGCAGGCACCCCTTCACCAAGGGACAAAAGTCAGCATCTCCTGTCATCAGACAGAGGGACACCGCAGGTGTCCTGAGAGGCACACATCACTTCTGGGGATTCCTGCCTCAAATCCTTGATGTCACCATGAAGAAACAGTATGACTACCTGTGTCCTGAAGAGCTGTGCCCTTCAAAATAGCAACTTCCAGATTTTTAAATCTGCACCACAGAGAAGTGGCAACAGAACACAAGGCGTGACCCAGGGTTTTTTTTTTTTTTTTTTTTTTTTTTGCTATAAAGGGCAATATGGGGACAAAAGATAAGAGTGAATGAGGTCTGTAGATTAGGTAACAGTATTATTAAAACCAGGAAATTAACATTGAAATAATTGCACCGTGGGTATGTAAGGGAATGTCCTGCTTTTAGGAAATACGGATGCCTTTGGGATGAAAGGCATCGTGTCTGCAATTTACTCCCAAACTGTCAGAAAAAATAAATTGAGGGGAGGGCAGCAAAAGGAGTAAAACACGAACATTCGAGGAACCTGGAGTCGGGATGAGGGCAAACGGGAATTATTTGTACTATTTCTTGCAACCTTCACCGTCAGTCCAAGATTGCCCAGAGAAGACCGGGGCTGAAGGGGCACAGGCAGAGCCTGCCCGCGGAGCTGGCTCCACTGCCAGCACCACTGGGCCTCCCAGGAAAGCAGAAGTTCATGGGCCGGCGAGGCTGGACCACAGATTCATTCCGATGCCGATGCCAACGCGCCCTGCTGAGCGTCCAGGGAGGAACACCCAGCAACTTGGTCAAATGCTTCCTGTTCCTGCCACCGCAGGGGCGTCCCCGGTCCCCACCCTGAGGCTCACCACTCCTCCTGGGCTGGACTCCGTGGGAGGCTGGTCTGGCCCTGCTGTCTGCACTTCCCGCTCAGGCATGGTCTGGAGGGAGCAGGTTCTGTGGTCCCGGTGGGCTCCCCTGGACCAGGCTGCACCCCCAGCCCTCCAAGTCCTCCCTTCCTAGCCGGGCGGGCGGTGCCTGCAAGACCACTTCCCCTGTGAGTCAGCACCCAGGGGGCCACCACAGCCCCCTCCCAGCCCCCACACACACAGAAGGACAAGATACCAGGTACAAAATACCCCAAGCGCCAGGCATCTGCACATGAGGTTTTGCCTCCCTTCTCCCACACGTCCTCCATTCATCGATCACTCAAATAGCAATGGGCATCTGCTATGCGCCAAGCCCTGGAGACCCGAGACAATGGGCAGCTAAGCAGGTGACTGGGCTGAGGTTAGACATTGTGAGGACGAAGCCGGGAAGGGACCGGGCCACGGCTGTCTCTGGCAGAGCAGGGGCCGGGCAGACCTTGGTCTTCCCCTCTCCTTCCCTCCTCTCTCCCAGGGTCCCAGGATGGTGGGGAGAGTGGTCCTGGAGGTCACCTAGGCCAGCCCCAGCTTTTCAAGTGGGGAAACTGAGGCCCAAGTCAAGCAGTGGCCCAGCAACCATCAGGATTAGAACCAGATCTCCCAGGGGCCAGCTCATCCTCACTGAATGGAGCTGGTTGGGTGGAAGGTTCCCCACCCAGGACCTCAGGAGACTGGACACTTGTCCCTGCTCAGCCACTGGCCACGGGGTTGCGTGGGCCCAACCCTTCCCCTCTCTGGGACTTGGTTTGCCTCCTCGGGGACAGAGGGATACCCCATCCCAAGTAATCCCCAGGTTCTCTGAGGGCAAAGCAGGACTGGAATGCAAAGGCCAAACCTGTCGGGAGGTGTTTCTAGAACAGTCTCTGGATGCATGGGTGGCCTCCAGGCCCTTTCCCTGCTCTCTTGCCAGTTTTGTTATCGCCAGCACGCCCCTGGAAAAACACGAGCTGGGCCCTCGTCTGGCAAATGACTCACTGGGCTCAGTTGTTCTCTCCAAACACAGGCCGAGGGAGGAAGCGAGAAGTGCCAGAGAGCAGACCTCCCGGCTCCGAGGCCACAGGGAGGCTGGCTGGGGGACAGGGCAGACGGGCCGTATGCGGGGGTGGGATGGACTCACCGCCTCTGACAGCAGCCTTGGCCTCCTCAGGCCCCGCTCGCTCCTGGCCGGCGGGCGAGCTCATGGCCACAGTCTGGACCTCGTCCCTGCTGCTGCAGCCTCCCTGGGGCCCTGCCAGCCCCCTCCCCATCAGGGTCAGCTGCTCAGTGGTCACCTTGGTGGGGCCCTCCACGACCCGCCGTGGCCTCAGCGCTGAGGGCGCGGCATGCCCGGCTGGCCTCTGTGGAGAGAGGAGAGGGTAGGGGTCAGCAGGGACGGCCTCTCCAGGGAGACAGGCCTCCAGGACCAGCATGGACGTTGTGGCCAGAGTTGGGGTCCAGGAGGAGAGAATGCCAACAATGCGGAGTGCCTGACGCCTTTAAGACCCGGCAGTGGCCCTAACGTGACCATGACATGATGGCCTGGTGTGTGTGATCTGCCTCCTCTCACTCTCACGTTTGCTTGCCCCCTTCTGCCACAGGGCCTTTGCACAGCTGCGACTGCTGCCTGGATAGCCCCTCCTCCCCTTCAAGGTGGAGCCACTGGTCCTCCCAGGCCTTTCCCCTCCAGCTGGCCACTACAGCACCCTCTCCTGGGGCTGTCACATACCGATGGACTGTGCTCACAGGGTTGGGTTAGTGCTTTGCTGCCCATTGGATGACACGGAAGGACACAGAGGTCCCCTTTCAGGCATCGAATGTGAGTGCAAGTGGAGGCCAATGGGGTTGGCGGCCACAGGGCTGAGGCACACAGGGGACAGGACCCCAGCTGGGTGGCTGCAGGGATGGGATCTGCCATGTCCCCCTCAGTTGTGCCTCAGGGGCGGAGGGGACAACGAGAGGCCTTGCTTGCGTCGGGGGAGTGTGGTCAGGAGCGCCCCAGCACGGAGGCCGTGCTCATATCAGGCCTGGCTGTTGGCTGATTGTGGGAAGGCTCGACCCTGCTCATCTGGGACAGCCAGCAGGAGTTCCCTCTGCACGGTGCCCGGAGAAATGGGGCACCACGTCTGATTCCCTGTCTGGGGATAAAAATATAAGTCCAACCTCCTGCGGACTTGCCCGCCCCTTTCTTGGTGGACTCTGGGGAACGGGCCACCCAGCAGCAGGCCCAGAGCTGGCTGGTCCAGCAGTGTGGGCCTTGCAGCCCAGACGTGCCCGGCAGGCCAGAGCCAGGCAGCCACACGCTCCCTCGGCGACCCAAGGGCCTCCCAGCTCTGTCCTGTCTCCCACCTGCACCCTGGTTCCTGGGCAGGGAACACACAGGGGATGGGGCCAGACTGGGCAGCCATGGGGTCAGAGTTGGGGTCACAGGACATGGGCTGTGCCACAGGTAGCAGGAGGCCCTGAAGCTGTGAAGGGGCCTCAGAGAGCCCCCTCCCACCTGCCCACCTGCTCCAACTGTAATCTGATTGGTCGGTTTGTGGCTGAATCCTTCCTGTCCCCCAACCACCTGTGAGGGGCAGGGACAGGGCCTGGGGGATGACAAACCAGAGGGGGGCCTCAGATGCCACAGGGCACCTAGGGGACCCTGGCCCCCTGCAGGCAGCCCCAGGGAGGAGAGCCCAGGCCAGACCATGCGTGCTTTTCCAGAGCCCGAAGCTAACGCAGGATTGTAGGTGCAGGACACAGTGTTGTTGCCGGGCTCCCGCCGGGGCATTTGCTAGATGGTTATACGCCTGGTGCCTTTGGCCTCACTGTCCCTTGTCCCAGGACCCTGGTCACACTTGGAGAGCTCCTTGGCACCCTTCAGGGTGCAGGTAGGGATGCCCTGGCCACCCTCCCCCGGCCTCGGACTTTGCTTTCTTCTCTCCTCACTGCCAAACCGTGGTCCTGGCACCTGGTGTTGTGGGTGCCACCGCCTGGGCCCGGCCTGGCCAGGACCAGGAAGCCCACGGCCTGCAGCCCGGACTGTCTTCCCACCCTCCCTTCGCAGCCCCCGGAGTGCCGCTGGAGTCCATCCCCACAGTGCGCACGGCTCCTGCTTTACAGGGTCTTCGCTCCCGACCCCGATCCCGGGTCCCCTCTCTGTCACTTTGTCCTTCACGAGCCAGGTCTGATGTCCCCACTTACTGGAGCAGGTGCCCCAGCAGCGGGGCATCTCTCCACCCCCTCGCCGCTCCTCCGGGTCGGGAACAGCCCCATGTGGGGCAGCATCTGGGGCCCCCATGGGCGAGCACAGAGCTGGGGCTCAGGGACTGGTTTCTGAGAAAAGGGAAGGCTCCCCAGTTCAGGAAGTTTCACGCCTGCTGGGCGAGAGCCCCATGAGGAAGTGGGCTCAGTCTCTGCAGCGCTCCCCCGCTGCCGCCCCAGGAAACCGCCTCCCTGGGCCCTGCAGTGCCCGACTCACACTGCGAAGTGGAGGCCTGGCCGGGCGAGTGCCCGGGGCTCCCCAGGGCCAGCTCACCAAGTTAGGGGGACCCCCAAGCAGCCTGTGGGACCTTTCTCCAGCCGGCCTCATCTTGCCCAGTTTCTTGTTGGGTGGGCCCCGGGGTAGGCCGGCCATGGGGTCCAGCCCACTCCAGCCTCCAGCCCCGGGAGAAGGGAGTTTGGCACCGGAACATGCAGACCTGGGGTCAGACACAGTGGCTGGGGGAACCTGTCCATGCCTCAGTTTACTCACCCAGAAAATGGGAACGAACACACCCACCTCACAAGGAGGCTAGCTGGGTGGAGCAGATGGGGCTCCTGCTTTACAAGTTTAACTATTGTGGGCTGGAAGAAGGGCCATGGCTCTGACCCATCCTGAATGGGTATGGAGAGGTCTGGCCAGAGCTTTCTCGGGGCTGGTACTGAACAGACACTTTGAGGGACCATGGGGACCTCACCCATGCCACCAAAAGCACCTCTGGAGAGGTGTCTTGTCACCCCATATCCTGGAGTGAACACTGTCCACGCCCAAAAGTCATGCCCACCTGGAACCTCGGATGGGAACATTTTTGGAAATAGGGTCTCTGCAGATGAAGTTAACTTTAGTTAAAATGAGGTCGTACTGGACTAGGGTAGGCCCTGAGTCCAGTGACTGGTGTCCTTGTAAGAAAGAGAGGACACAGGCATGCAGAGGGGACAGCAAGGGGAGGCCGGGTGACCGCAGGGGCAGAGTATGGGGTGCTGCAGCCACAGCCAAGGGACGCCTGGGGACACCAGGGCTGGGGGGGCAGGGAGGAGCCTCTCTGAGAGACCGGAGAGGGTGTCAGTGTGGCCGCACCACGCCGCCATCTCCAACTGCTGGCCTCCGGGACCGTGAGAGAACAAATGCTGCCGTTCGGCCCCCGCTCGGTGATAGTCTGTTATAGCAGCCACGGGAAAATACTGCACCTGGTAACCTCCTGTGCCTTGATTTCCTCTTCTGTGTAGTGGGGTCAACATTACCTATGTCACTGCATTTTTGTGAGGAGGATTTAATGACATCACACGCATAAAACGCCGGCCCAGTGCATGACACAGGAAGCCTCGTGGCCATCAACAACGGTGTTGACAGCCACGTGACAATAGGCCCCTCTGAGGTGCTCACTAAGCAACCTCGGTTAACCTGGAGGAGGCAGGTGCCACTGCGCCCATTTCAAAGATGTGCCACCAGCCACAGTGACTCTGCACGCGCAAGGTTACCCAGTCAGGGACATGGGTGGGATGTGAACCCAGATGTCCGAGCCCAGCCCTCCCACACCCACCCTGGACCTGGATGCGCCAGCTCAGCCCAGCCCCTGCTGCAGCCACAAGTTCGGCTGCAGCTCCTCGCCCCTGGGGGCTGGGAGGCCACACCCTGAGCGGCAGCCCGGGGACAGGGTGCTCCTGGCTCCAGCATCCGCCACCCGCCACACCGATAACGCCCCCAACATCACTTTGCCACCCCTCGCATCTGAGCCTTGCTGGCGGCAAAAGGTCAGAAACTCCCACCTCACAGATGGGGCAGGGCTCCTGGGGCCCAAGGGGGGTCACCCCCAGGCCCAGAGAGGGTCTTGGTGGTGTGCACAGGAGCACATGCCCCGGCCACACCTGCAGTTGGAAGGCTAAACGCAAGACCTCCCCTGGAACTTTCTAGCTAGTGTTCCTGGTCAAGTCGCTTGTCCCTTTGGTGCATAGAAAGGAAACCAGGGCCGGTGATGTCTGAGTGGCTGGATCACAGCCACAGTGGCCCCGGGGGTGGCTCAGAGGCACTGTGCTAGCACTTGTGGGCCTGCTGATGTGGCCTCGAGCTAACCCAGGGCTGGGGTCACACCCGAGACCCACTGGACCTGCAGCTGTGCTCGGCCCTGATCCCAAGCAGGTCAGAAAGTCCTCAAGAAAGTAGAAGGTGGGACACAGTTCTTATGTCCTGCGGCAAGACCCAGCTCTGCAGACGGCAGCCTGCTTGGCGGGTCCACACCCTGCCTGCCCCGGAGCCCCCGTACCGCCCCAGAATCCTTATACCTGCCCTGGAGTGCCCCATACCTGTCTCACACACCCCCGTACCTACTCCGCTCCTCAGAGGCAGCTCCCAGGCCTACACGGCTGTAGGACGCAGGCACCAGGTGGCTGATCCCGGCTCAGCGCTGACTGGCCCCGCCTGCCTGTCTCCAGCTGGCCAGGGCAGGCAGGGGCCGCCCACAGCCAGGCTGACTGCATGGCCCCACCGCTCCCTGTTTCCTGCTGCACTTCCTCCCTGCGCCTGGGGGTGGACGAGGCAGGCCCAGTGCTGCACAGCGCCCAGGGCCGGTTGATCATTAGCTCCTTCCTCGACCGGCCCCGGGCTCTGTTCTGCCTGCGCACTGCCCAGCCCCCAGGGTCCACGGTAGAGGCCAGGGGACTCTCACCAGTGCCAGCCCTGCACCCTGCCAGCCTCGGCTCTACTCTCTGCTCTCTGCTCCTCTTCCACTTACTGCACACATGTGTACATACACACGTGCACACACACTAGTGTGCTTGCACAGACATACACTCATACAGACGCACACAGACATACACAAGCACACACAAACATGCACACACATACACCCGCGTGCACACACATACACTCACATGCACACACACAAACATGCACGTTCGTGTGCACACACAGGCATACACTCACACACACAGATATGCACAAGCACAAACATGCTCACACAGACATATACTCGTGTGCACACAGACACAAACACATACACACAGACACACACTTGTGTGTACACACAGACATGCACTCACAGACACACATAAGTGCATACACGAACACACACATGCATGCACACACACATGCGCACACAAACACACAGGCATACACACATGTTTGTGCACGCAAAGACACATAAACCCACACATGCATGGGCACGCACAGATACATGAGCACCCATGTGCACACAGGACAAACACACATATGCACAAACACATGTATGTAGCCCCTTTAGTCTCTGTCTGGCCCATTGGCCCGTCAGTGGAAACATTTTATTTATTTATTTATTTATTTTTTGAGACAGAGTCTCACTCTGTTGCCCAGGCTAGAGTGAGTGCCGTGGCGTCAGCCTAGCTCACAGCAACCTCAAACTCCTGGGCTCAAGCGATCCTACTGCCTCAGCCTCCCGAGTAGCTGGGACTACAGGCATGCGCCACCATGCCCGGCTAATTTTTTCTATATATTTTTAGTTGTCCAATTAATTTCTTTCTATTTTTAGTAGAGACGGGGTCTCGCTCTTGCTCAGGCTGGTCTCGAACTCCTGAGCTCAAACAATCCACCCGCCTCGGCCTCCCAGAGAGCTAGGATTACAGGCGTGAGCCACCGCGCCCAGCCCAGTGGAAACATTTTAGAGAAGAGCTGGGCCCTCCTCCCGCTCTGCCGCAAGCTCTCCCTCCCAGGAGTCCGGCGCCTCTCAGGGGTCTACCTCGTTACCTTCCCATTGGCTCTAGGGCTGGCCCAGGTTTGGGAAAAGGAACCTTCCTAGGTGGGCTGAGGCCAACCCAAGGCGGGATTCTCACCTCTGCTCACTGGGGAGCCCAGACCGGGTCTCCTGTCGGCTGGGGCAAGAAGCAGGAGCTGAACTTGGGTCCTGTCGGCCCCCACCTGTTGGCCTGCTCCCATGCCCTTGCCGACACCCAGGTGTGGGCACCCAGCGGCCATGGGCTGCTGGCTCCAGCCCAGCCCCGGGATGCAGGAGAGGGAGGGCTCCCTCCACTGTGCGCTTGTGGAGCTGGGGCTTTTACGTGCTGTGTGGTTTAATAACACCAGGAATAATCCCTAAGTTAAATAGTAATGTGCCCATTTCGCAGGCAGGGAAATTAAGGCTCAGAGGTAATGTGACATGCCCAGGGCCAGTGACCAGCTAGAAGATGTGACTAGAAGCAGGTCTGCCTGGAATTTTAGGACTAGGTTTCTCCATTTGGGGCCAAATCACGCTGCTCAGCACATCCCTGCCTCCACCCACCAGATGCCAGCAGCCCCTCCCCCAGTCATGACAACCAAACACAGCTCAGGTATTTATCCTCTGGGGGCTCTGGACAGCACCACTCCCAGCCCATGCCGGGGGCTCCCACCCTCTGTTCTCTAACCACAGGCCCTGGCCTCAAGCCTCCACTTCCCCAGCTCCCCGAGGTTCCACATAGCAGCCCCTGAAGTCACGACGACCCCCACGAGGCCAGGGCCCATGGGAGACACTTGGGCACATCCCACCCCACCCCAAAGGGCCTGCAGGGGCAGAGCCAGCCCCGGCCCCCGGCTTCCTAGCCCCTCAGGCCACACACATGCTTGGTGACCACATGGGGCGAGGCAGCGGCACCTGTTGGCCAGGTTCGGAGTCCCCGATGGCAGCGATCTGAGTGTCTGACCCGCCAGGCAGAGGGCGGCAGCTCTCAAACCCTGGCTGCCCCTCTGTGTGGTGGAAACTGATCTCTCTGGTCTCCCCACAGGTAGCTGTGACGGTCACTGCATCAGTGTCCTGGGGCTGCCACGACAGAGGGCCACGGACTGGGGACTTCAGACGGCAGAAACCCCTGCTCTCAGTCTGGAGGCCAAAAGTCTAAAACCGGGGGGTTGTAGGGCCACATGCCCTCCGGGAGCTCTGGGGGACGCTCCTTTCTGCCTTTCCAGCACCTGGTGGCTCCCAGCATCACGCCAGCCTCTGCCTCGTCTCCACGCCGCCTCCTCTGTGTGTGTGTCCCCTTCTGTCTCTTCTAAGGACACTATCACCGGACTTGGAGCCCACCTGGGTCACCCAGGAGGATCTCATCTCAAGACCCTTGACTTAGTCATATCTGCAAAGACCCTTATTCCAGATAAGGCCACATCCACAGGTTGCGGGTGGACCTGACTTTTGGGATCAGTTCAGTACTTGTGCCCGTGAAGCAGGCTGGGGACAGGGTCACAGCCCCCTCGGCCTCAGTGGCCTGCGGTCCCTCACATCTCATGTTCTCCTGGTCCCCCTTTGGGCCTCGGGGGTGGATGAAACAAGGTCCGGGCCCACCCTGAAGCCCCTCCTGACTGCGGCCCTGGACACCTGCCTTCACACACTTTGCCTTGCGAACACCTGCCTGCTGTCTGCCTACCTCCTCCCGCCTCGGTTTGAGAGAGTTCAGCGGCATCCTGCCCAGCCCAGCCGCTGGGGGCCTCTGTCCATCTCCCTCTGCCTCCCCCTTGTCAGCCCTTGGAGCCAGTGGCGCCCCACCCTCCATGATGGCCCACTGCCACAGCCCGCAAGGCCTTGGGGCTGGAATCTCCTGGCACCATCTCTGTAGGATGGGTGTGACCCAGGGCACTAGCCTCTCCTCTGCTTGGGCCGCTTTCTGGGCAAGCTGCCACCCCCACATAGAGGCAGATGCCCCAAGCCCCCCTTTGCACAGGCACAAGATGCCCACGTCACCCCCCGCCCCCTCCAGGTCTTTCTCTTCCCACCTGCCTCTGCACAGCCTCTGGCCCCTGGGACCCCCTTCTGGGCGAGTCTCCTCCACCAAGGGTGACTCCCCTGTTACGGGTCCAGCTCCTCCCCCAGCCAGGCCGCCACACACGGGAACTGGGCAAGCCAGGGGACCACACCCATCAACACACCTCACAGAGGGCTTGTGTTCTCTGAGGTGCCCTGGCGGGGGCGCATTCTGTGGTCTGCTCTGGGTCATCGCGAGGATTAAAATAGATTTGAGAACTTTTCTAACAGTCCAACACACAGGCGCAGTCGTGCCGCCCCGTCTGTGCACGTAACAAACGCCACTGTGGTCCTCTCCGTGGCCTCAGCCCTGCCAGGAGCCCTGGGGATGGTGCTGATGGGCTAGTGGGGAAGCACCACCGTCCCCAGGGGGTCAGTGCCTCCTGACAGTCCCCTGGCCCCATGGGACGGGGCTAGCCTGTCCCACTGCTCAGGTGACAGCCCCGAGGGGCTGTGGAGAAAAGTGGGGAGCGGGCACCCGAGACATCCCTCACCAACTCGCAGCCTGCCTGTGGCACATCCTCCTCCTCCTCCTGGCCTCAGTTTCCCACCTGTGACATGGGGCCCCAGGGGTGGGTGGCCCAGCGCTCCATCGCGCTCACACCTCCACCCACTCACCAGAGTGTGCAGAACACACTTCCTCCCCTGGCCTGAGGTGCTCGCCTTGCCTCTGTTTGTTTTTCTAAAAGCTGTGTTGAAAGAGGCCCCAGACAGGCTCCGCGTCCACACAAGGGTCTGGAGACATTTCCTCTCCTGGCCATTGTCCCCCACAGCAGCTGGAGACCCTGTATCCTGTTTGTCCCTGCAGCTGTGCTTTTGGCCCAAGGCCAGGGGGATTTTCCAAGGGCCTCCCACTTGTGCACAGAGCGCCCGGACCCACACGGTACACCCAGGCCTTCTGGAGGGACACACCTGAGCCTTGCAAGGCCAGGGATGTAAGCAGGTGTCCCTCCGGAGGCTGCAGATACGGGGGCAGAGTCACACAGCTCTGCCTGCCTGAGGGCCTGTTTGAGCCCCAGCTCAGGCTTGGACTCCCCCTGGCCAATCTGTCACTTTCCTGGGCCTCAGTTTCCCCCTCCTGCAAGAGGTAGAGTTGGGCTTGGGACCCCTAAGTGCCGGCCAACAGCTCTGATCCCTGACATGGTTGTAACAAATTCAAGTCGTCACTTGCAGAGAAGATGCTAAGTCCCTTGCGTGGATCATCACCTCGTGGGTCTCCACAGTGGCCCTACCAGAGTGAGCACCCTCAGGACCCCCCGGACAAGGTACAGCCTGCCAGGCGTCGTAGCTCCCGGCTCCCAAGCAGCAGAGCTGGCCTGGGGCCCAATCCCTCCAGCACAAGCCTGTGCTCCCCTCACCCTTGCTGCCCTCTGGGGCTCTCTAAGCCGTGAGACAATTCCCAGGAACCCCGGGGAGTGAGTCCTGTCCAGGGAGTCGGGGGTTTTCAGATAAGCAAACTCTCGCGCCCTCCAGCACCAGACCCCAGTGTTGACCTTTTGGATGGTGATCTGTCCCTTTCCCTGGTGTCTTGTTGAATTGCAAGGTACGGTGACCTGCCGGCAGGACGAGGGGATGTTCTGAGAGCTTCCTCGTGTCCTGACCCACTGCCAGCCTGCTCAGGACGGGAGCGCGGACAGGTGCTTTAGGGCTG